TTTTTTTGGCGTATATCATTTGACCCAGTTTAGGTTAATGTCAACATCAATTATACGCAGTTTCGACATAAAGTGAGTTTTCAATAAATATTGCAGGAGAGATGAACTCAATGTCTTATATGTCTTTTTCCCACTTTTTCCCCCTCGCTAAAACGTAGTTTATATTGAAATATAGGCATTTCCACAAGACACAAATCGGTGTTGTTTTATACTTATTTAATGAATGGAAATTAAGAAACAGTGAACTGATTGGTCAGGAGTCTGTATCTATATTTCCTGACCACAGGCAAATACATAATCATTTAGAAATCGAGTACATCTTTCTTCTGCCAAATACAAATGTCGGCGATATCAATGTATCGAATGGTTCTAATGTTTACAGGGCAGTTTATCAGACACACTGTACAGGTAACCACAACTGTCCGACTCCAACTTGTCAACCTATACATTGCTTCTCTGGCAATTAGTAGATATGAATTATTTACACTAAGATAATGTCATTTACACACACGATATGCCATAACGTATTTGTATAATGTAATAAACATACATAAAAATACTGCCCTGCTATCACGTAGTATACTGTGGGTATTTGTTACATGTGAACACTATCATAGCATTGGCGTTTTAGTCTACTCTCCAAAATTATCTAATGTAAAATTGTGTCTCTCCAAAAGTGTTAGCAAAGACGGTGAAGAACTTGAGACCTTATGAATGACAACTTTACCCGAATCTACCTGAAAATAAAGCCGATTAGCATACTGCAACGTTTTTTTTATCTGTGAAAGTTATTTGCGAGCATCCACCCGACGAGGGATGAAAACGAAAACAGCCTTTTAAACTTTTCCATACTAGACAGGCATTACGTACTGATAACGACATTTTCGTTGGGACTTCATATATTGTCTTGCTATCATGTACTGATATTATTCTCCGTTTTCTTTTATGTTGGTCATATTTTGCCATCATTTCATCGAGTTCGAAATTTAAATGTTCTTCTTGTCAAAGACATGACGATATGGCGACATTTTAAATGACCATATAGTGGCCACATCTTATTGTCCATGGACGCCAGTGTCACATTCTTTGATATCATAAGGGTTTCTCGGATAAATCAATATCAGCGTATGGAATATGTATATTTATAAAATATGGAAATTTATTAGTTATTTATGCCTAAAGGCATGGCAGGTTTCTCGAGTTAACTTTATTGTAGATTCAATTTATAAAATACAAACTATAGTCGATTGTTCTTTGTTTGATAATCTTTGTGAATTTCGATTATTTTTGAAAATATGACACTCTTGTTTCGATTCCACTTTCTTAATTAAACAAAAAAACCGCATGTATTTGTGATCGATAGATAATGTCTTTTTCATGCTAAAATTGTTTGTAATAATGCGTATCACGTCTTTGTCTATATGATTTATTATAGAGCTCTTCAGATAATTCTTGTAAGGTATGTGCATAATAAAGTTCATTATATAATTGTGTAAAATTATGCTCTGAACTTTGATAAAATTCGAAGGCGCTTGATATTTACCAGGTGGTTGCACTTCCATATTAATCTCTTAAAAGGTGCGTTATTCGATGTCGTTAATGAATGCAGCAGATTCTAGTTCAGCCAAGACACGATAACAACAAAAGAACACATTTCTTTGAATGTTTGCCTCAGAAAAAGTCAAATAATATTTGTATAATACGTTGATTATACTTGCAAACTGAAAAAACGACCCCAATCTATTATGGTAAATTATGATAAAGAGTATGAAGAGTTCGTCATCAGCTTGGCGTTTAGTAGGGGCGTTACATGTCATAGTCAGTTTCCGGGAGACCGTAACAGTTACACGTGACCCGCGACCTTGTGACGCACGTGACGGCATTGATGAACAGTGTTTACATCCCAAGTTCGGGCTGTACTTGATAAATAACATATTGGTGTATTCATTTGATATCCAAGATTTCTTGTTTCTGCCTGTGCCTTGCGTGTCTCTTTCACCAAAATATTACTTTCGTAATCTAAAATCTTTTTAGCAATATTTATCATGAGATACTTTATCTTAAACAATCTATGTTTAGTATATAAATGACATGTAATTAATCACCACCGTGTCAATACATCTTTTAATTCAGTGCCGTATAAAGCACTAAAAAAGGAAAGTTGATGGATGTTTATTAGATAACTACTTGAACAATTAGTCATAAAATAAATTCGTTTATCACTATTGGTTTGTAAGCGAATTTTCTTTTACACAAGCATTTTATTAAGACCAGTGTAAATAATATAAAGGTGCATATTCAATCATTAATTCTATTATGTAAGGATAATATGCAAGTGCATTAATCACATTTTGCGGTTTTTAATCTATAAGTAAGGCAAACATCTTTTCGATCAGGAATAAGATCAATTATATCCTTCATCACATCATGTAATTGATTGTTTTATCTTTGTTAAATCATTTTAAATTTGAAAAATTAGAAGCGATGTTGACAATTGACATTTTCGAAACAATAAATCAAAGTTCTGTAATGATATCCCAATCACATATATATTTGTACTCATACTTGTCTATAAAGCTGTCAGTAATGACATTGACGACCGTTTTGTTTCTATACAGAAACAATAGCTCCTCTGTATATCTAGGATGTAAACATATAACACCAGGCCCCGCTTATTCAAAGCCCAGTGGTTTGTAAGACTGTTTTCATAGAAATCAAAACAAAGATGAAATAATTCTTTATCGTTTAATTTCCTGCAGATCTATTGGGACATGTGAAATTGATATACATGTACATGTATGTCGAGTGATAATTTTGTATATAACTCTCCTAACGCTCTCGTTTTTTCACTAACCACTGGATAACTTCAACATACTATGGTATCAATACTATTTTTATTTATACACTATATACACCAGTAAATGCATGTACCTATGCTATTTCATTTTAGCAAACCACTAATAATGATGGTCAGAACGACGAATTTTCTAAATAAATGTCAGAAGCGAGCTACCTAAAATTTGTAATAGCTTTGTCCACTGTATCCAACAACGTATGAACAATCATGTATCGCAATTGATATCGAACATTTTACACACAATAAGTAATTAATTTTAGCGGTAGCTTAGTTACTAGTAGAGTGACATAATTAAACAGTAAAAATGCAGAACTTTCTTCTAGCATCTCTACTAATTGCAGTTACTAAACAAATTAAAATATCTTCATGTGGGAATCTTCGTTTCGATGGAGACTCCATTGATGATTAAGCGCAAAGCTTTTTGTCGTACCAATGACAAAATGATTGCATTGTGTTTTTATCTATGACTAAATTTGTAAGGAAAGTGCTATTTACTTGTGTGGTTTTCGCACAGTCCGTCAACCAATTTCATCATGGTTCCTAAAGAGTAACTTGTGTAAACTAGAAACTACAAATCACAAAAGGAAAAAATATCTGACGAAAAAGATCTGACGAAGTCAGACTACCGTAGGGTTAGGGAGTCAATCAAATGTCGATAGTGTTACTAAATTACATCACTACCTAGTGTAATGTTAACGACGGTTGAAGGTCGGTGGTGTTGACAGTCTAACTCCCGAGGCGATGATCTGACACCGCGGAGTGTTCAAGACACACAAGTCTATCCTGTGGTATAAATGTAACTGGAGAAAATATGGTGCAATATATAAACTACCTGTGATGATATATATCAATATATATATATATAAATCCTGTGATTAATAAGTTTTAATCAATATAGTTTAACAATCCTGTAAACATATATTATGATACCTTATATCTACTAAATATTAATCAATCGAATAAATTCTTAGATATGTATATGTCTTGCCGAAATACAATTTGGCAGTTGCCATATTTAATCATGAAATATCCACATCAAGCGTGATTTTGTACTGAAACAAATGACTACATATTGTCACGATTTTGTACGACGATAACCTTCCTGTGATTGTAAAAGATAAATGTAATTTATATGAGACAGATAAGAACAATAGCATAAAGCAACAACTCCTTGTAACGTGATAATGTCTGACATATTTTACCATACATCACTGTCTACCTGCTAGCTAAAGACAACCAAGTTTTACATCAAGAAACCAATTAAAGACGTGAAGTAAATAGCAATTAGCTCAATTAGTATTACTTACGTAGCGGGACTGACGCTATACAAACGAGATTTGTTTATACCTCGGGGTCTTGGTAATGAACCTGCGAGTCCGCTTAAGAGCACGGTGACAAGAAGGGCATGTTACTGTATCATTGATTTATTCAAATTACATGTCAATAACTTTTTTTGTTCCCTAAGGTCATTGTTTATCTTGATAAACACTTCAAAATTAATTAGATACCTAATTTGCAATAGACTATACCATAAAATCGGTATATCTTACATGAAGCTAGACTGGTTCGTTTTTTCTGTCACAATCTATTAAGTGAACACCACTTTAACACTACAGGTACAAGTATTAGGAAGCAATATCACTTACCAAGTCGATATAACAGTATAAATATACACTTGTGTATCTACGTTTATATCTAGCTGCAGGGATCGCTAAGGTTTGTGCGAGTGGTTTACCTTCTCTCCTAATCATTACCTCATAATATCCCTGGTCTTTACCAAGACAGACGGTCAATGATACACTGACAAGGTAAAACATTATTGTAGATCTGGTGAACCCCGGTCAGTGATACATTGAAAAGGTAAGACATTGTTGTAGATCTGGTGAACCCTACTTAGTGATACATGTACCTCTGTTACCCTTTTTAGGGTCAAAACAACAACAGGTTTATTTTTACTAATATATATTGTATAAACAAATGCGGTTTTGCTTCAGGCTTCGGGCATTCAGAGGTGACGGAAGAAGTTTTTATTTTGATTTCATTTATTGATATGTAATACCCACATCGTCAATATAAAACCAGTGTCCTTGTTTAGCATATTCAGTTCAATTTCCAATGCTTACAGATACTGCAACATTAAATAATGGCTACTACGACTAGTACGCCAGTCCGCCGCCGAAGTAGTGACGGATTAATGGATACTGCGGACAACTTGGTGGACAGACTAGACGAACTGGCAGACATACTCACGTCTGTAGAGGATGAGTACGTGAAGGTACGTACTCCACAGGTAAATATCGTTTATATGTATCTATACTTAGTCATAACTAACTTCCAATAAATCATTGCATCATAGTTTAGCTCTAGTTATAGTCATATGTAGTACATGCGTAGAGGGTAATGTTCTGCTATATCTAAAAATAAAATTCCGCGTTAAACGTTCCCGATTATCATTGCCAGTTGTATGCTTCGATATAGAAATTCAAAATATCATTGGTAGGATGTGCACTTTATATAGCAACGACACATATCAATCTAACATCTGTCTCTCCGAATGAACACTATTTGACAACACATCCTCCTAGTATTGCAACCAGCCTTTTTCGACAATAGCAATTTGCATCTAGCTTCGTTAGCATCGGGATTTTCCTTATTTAGGCTATCTTCATTTAATCATTAGATTTATGTTTATATCGCTTGATGGGAATGGGATTTGAACTCCAATACATTGTAAACGAGCTTAAACTTCCGGTGTGTTATCGGTTCCCTAGATAGGTTTTATGTGACCACTAAGATACACATGCTTTCATCAACTACTTTACTTTTCATTGAAACTAAATAAAATTAGTAAGGAAATAATTGTATATTTTTTCTCAATTCATGAAATGTATCACCAAAGACTATTATAGTTACACATATCTTTGGAATTCCAATTTGTCCATTCACTAAAGATCAGTTACCAAAATTAGTGAGCAGGAAATGCGTGTCAATGATTGTACAAAAAACACCACAGAAGTGATTAGCAACTTTCACGATTGGATACATCAAAGCAAAAAAAAAAGAGAGAAAAAACGAAGTAAACTGTAATGTAGAACTGTTTTGTCCTTTTAGTATCCGTTACAATTTTATGTCAACAATTATTGTTTTCATTTTAACTTCAGATCTGATAAATAGTGTTGTTGAATAATTTTTTTTTATGTTTTATCGAAGCTTTATTTCAATATTAATGTTTAACATGAGTTTTACTACACACATGCTGATATTTCTTTCTGTTCTTTTGAATGGTAATGACGTATTCGTGTAACACTTTATCTATTTCGATCTGTGTTGTTTTCTGTGTATCTGATGTGTTTATGCTTATTCTCGTAAGGACTTGTACGTCTGGGACACTGCCTGGGCGTAACAAGACAATAAATACATTATTCAGATAACGTGTGATATTGCTATTCAGATTTTTCCGCGCGGATCAAATTTGGTCTTTTTTGAAATACTAGTCATTTAGTGGAAATTTGATTTCGTGGATAGACTGTCCAATAATATAACATTTTATGTTGTATTTATGTTATATTCAATAGAATATTCATATGTACTTATGGGGCTGCTGCACTTCCCCGTCTAGATTATGACTTTTTCTTTATATAATTTTGAATTTTCCTCGGTAGTCTCCGAGATATCAAAATTTAGGCCCTTGGTATCATTGAATAAGTCCTAGAAGGACGAAAAAGCGGTATGATGCAGTTTGATTCTTTGTTTGACTCTACTGTAACTAACCCTAAATTTCTATTAAAATGTGTTCTTTACGATGGAATTAACGAAGATTAAAAACAAAAACGTCAGTCCTACTTATTTTACTTTTTTTCATTATGCGTCCATAATCTGAATTGTGTTTGATATGACAATCGTCCGAGGTCCATGAAATAAACAATTAAAGACAAGAGTATTACTTATAACTTTTGATCACTGCATGTCACCTTCCAACCTCTTCTTTGTAATCCACCTGTATAAATTAGCACAGTAATGAATAACTATAAATGAGCTGTCTGATGCATCCAAAATACAATAAAGGAAATGATTTATAAATATTCATAGACAAATCTCCAAGTATAATTTTAACATCTACTGTGTTTTCATTTGTGTATAGTAATGCATAATGGTTCAACCTTGAAATTGTCTTGTATATGGCGTGTTTTGATTGCTCAAATGTTCGTGGTTTATGCAAAAACATGAAGTAAATAAGGTGTGTTTTTACGGAAGTTATGAAACAGATTATTTTAATTCTTTTCTTATTTGATTTCATCATCGATGATCCTGAAAATTAGAAACCTTCGAAAATAACAAATTTTACGGTATCTAATTCAAGTGTAAAGATTAAAAATCATGTTTGTTTACAAAGCCGTCAGCCTTATCAGAAATGGTTCTGATATTGTTCTTTATCAGATGGAAGACGATGAATTCGACAGACGACAAATCAACAAAACTCCTCCAAATCCTTATGCCAGACCAAACAATAGCTTCAAGCGTCTAAAAGAAGGACTAGAGTCAGCACGTGCCCTCATCGCGTGCTTGAAGCGGGAAAAATGGCGTTTGAGCAGACGTAAACAAAGTGTAGAATTGAGGATGGGAGAACTGGAAGATTATAAATCTCATCTGAAACAAGACATGGTAAACATTAGTTAGTGGGAAAGTTGTCATAATCCTTCGTCGTTGGTAGGGGTAAGACATATAGCAAATATTTTCGATTTTCATTGTGATCTCAGCAGGAAATATTCTGTTTCCTTTTTGTGAAATGAATTTCGATGGGCTCGCTACTCGTTGTCAATATTGTTGTAATAAATTCATATTGAAAACATCATCACTTCCATTGCCCTTAACTGACATGGCGGATATCTTTGATGAAAATGAAATCGTATACCCCCTAAATTCATGGTCTCTTTCTACAGAATAGACTAGGTTACTTAACAGGCAATGGATATATTTGTGTGACGTATCGATGATTACAGCATCACCGTGGTGAATGTATAGTCATCGGAATGCCATATATATAGAGAATACATGGTCAATGTCTTAAAATATAAGCTGTATTTTGGCGAGGGTGAAAAAAAGACCAAGGTGGCGAGCCTCTGGCCAGCCACTTTTGTCTTTCTGTCTCAGTAGAATACAGTTCCAAACTTCAACGAATATGACATCGATTTTATGAATTTTATGAAATAAACTTGTCCATTACAACATACAAAGTCACTTATTTCAAAAGCTATTTATATTGTTAAACGTAATTTCAGTAAATTCAGGAATTAATTCCGTCGAATTCCGGCACGTACTAAAGTACAACTATTTTCCGTCACTGCCGAATACAGCAAATGGATATGTGACAATGGCCCTGCGAGTTGCAGGATAACAACCTCTTCCTAGTGATGAAAGGTCTACGATTCTATAAATTCTTACAGAACATTTCATAGCATTGCATTATCTCTTTGTACTTTTTAAGAGTCTGCGTGTAATTTTACATTTACTCAATTTATACCTTTAATTCTATAGAAATTGCTATTGTTTTAGTATTATTGATATTTCAAAATCCTACGACAAGTAATTTGACTCTTTATTGTTATCGTAATTATTTGTAATTTCAGTCTTCTTTAAATGAAACCGTGGACATATTGAGCATGCGCGTGGTCGACTTGGAGAACGATCTGTGTGAAGCCCAAGAACGTCAAGAAAGTCTCGAATATGAGAACGAACAGTTGTCTGCAAGACTGAATGTTGCTGAATTTAACTGTAGAGGTATGTGTGGTTATTACATAGAAAACATAGAAACTTTGGAAATGCGAAAATTGATATGCAGCACTATTTTAATGCTTGGGATATCTCTGTTTCTGTTGTCTTCGTCTTAGCTGAGCTTTCTATCATCATATTTCCATGAGGAACACAGATTAGCGAATATTTGTTGTTACCGTTAGAGATGTAAAATCCAAGACGAATCAATCGTCATGATCTTCCATATACACAGTCAGCACCAACAAAATATTGCATGGTTTATCAAGTAGTCCGAATTATGACGAAGACTTTTTATATCGATTTCGAATTGATTTCAGACCAACATAAAAGGTCGATAAGACGCGAGACTAATTCGGACTCGGTTACCTTGGAGCATATATATATATATATATATATGTATGTATAAGTCTGAAGGGAGTTTTTGTAAAGTTGAAATACGATTTAATCATTTTATATCAGTAATCTATATAAATGTCCTTAATTCTTACCAAATATCAACATTGGCTATCAAAATCAAATATCAATTTTGATTATCAGTATCAAATATCAATAGTCCTAGGACTATTTCCATATTATCTCCAGTATAAATCGGTATGGAAGGTCATGTGATAATATCAATCAAATCTTCGTGCATAAAATAATATTATGAACATTACCGTAATAGAACACAGCACATAGTCTAGCGTTATACCTAAACTAACAAAGTTCGCGAAAACAGATGCGAAATAAAATTATGCTTCTTATATCAATGAGATGGTAATGTTTAAACCAAGATTGTACATTGTATGTTGATTTTATTTGAAACAGACTTCGAATCCCACAAGAATGATCTTCAGGAGGAACTAGAAAACGTACGAATGCTGAGGAGTGACTCTTGTTTGCGGCAGGAGAACGAAGAGATTCGATCTGAGATGGAAATTCTTCAGGAAGAGAACCATCGACTCAAAGAAATGATCCGACTACTTGAAGAGGAGGCAAAACCCCAGAGCCAAGATGGCGGCACCTTCATGGGACCAACAGAGAAAACACCCGAACAGAAAGAGATTACAAAAGAAATGGAACAGCTAAATATCGACACCGCCACCCTAGTTTAGCTTCAAGTAGAACAGCTTCACAGTGTATTGTCAGTACAACTGACATTATGAATTCAAAGATAGCGAATTGGGTTTTCTGGGAGGGTCCCATATATATCTGCCAGGGTTTGATCGAGAGGTGGAGGACTGTTAGGCTCAGCTACAATCCTGTTATGATATGGTATTCAAGAGATGTTGGGAATTGTCGGGCATGAAACAATGAGTGTTTGCCCATAATGAAAGGAACATCTTTTACTGTAATATTCTGCGACACATTACGAATGTATTGATGTTAAAAAGCCACTGCGAGTTCAATTGCAATTAAGCATCATTGTTCACGTCGTATTTCATAAAGTAATGCTTAATATTAAAGATGTTGAATTATTTTCCTATCGATGTCAACTTATTGTTAGCAATTGTCTCATTACTGTAAAGAAAGGTATTGTACACACACACACCCTCCAAACGACCAAAACCAATTCCGGATGGTCTACGATCATCGCTGTTTTAACATGTGACACTAACAACTGGCCTTCATTTGAAGATCTCTATGTTAATGCCAAATTATATCGGGTGTCCATTTTTCTGTTTTTGTATTGTGTTTGTTCTGATGAAATAAAAAAAAATATTCACATTCGTAGAAAAATGTTTTCGTGCTCTTCTACCTCCGAAATACTTTAAACGATACTTTTATGAATGGCATGTAGCTTTTTCAGCATAGAATGAAAGTTATAAGTTGGTGTGATGCGTTTTTCTTTCTTTGATATGTATTTTGGTGAGATCTTATGTCTTTCTTTCCCCTTTGAGAATGTTGTTTTGAATGTAAGTGCATTTTAAAGGCATTTTTCGCAAAATGATGATGACGAACACTATGAAATATCACATATTATTAACAATATTGAAAAAAGATCATGTTTTTAGAGTGAAAAAGCTCTAAAATACACCAAGAATACTACCGAAGTTCAGCAACACGCCATGGGAAAACGAGCACACTGACCTATCGTTTTCTTTTCATTTTCGATATTTCTATATTCTTCCCTTTAAAATGAGATATGGCTTTCAAAATGTTAGTAATCAGAAAATTTGGACTTTTCAAAATAGTATATCCTTATTCAAAAGAAAAAAGGGATTTTAAGCCTATGAAAGCCAAGAAATGGTGTCACATATTTGTTTTCAAACCCCATCAGCTGAAATCAATATGTCGCTCCTGCAATGCATATCATTGGCAGACAAGACATTGGGTAGGCTATAGTTTATGCCGTCAGACATATAAGTTTACATAGCAGTCAGTCAAAGTAAAGTGCGTTGGGACTAGTACCATTGGTACTACGGTTACTTTATGATATGGAATTTGCCTGTCTGAAGCACACATAGGCCTATTGGTCTACCACGCCGCGGCAAGTAACGCAATTTACAAGGTCAGTCAGTTAATCAGTAGGCGAACTTTGAGCATGTGACAACAATACAACGCGACTAAACATACATCAAGGTAGAATCAGTAAATAAAGGGAAATAACTCTGGTTGATCTTAATGGTATTTTTTTCCCTTGCATAATAGCCTGTAAGTATTCTACTAATTGAACACGAGATCACAGAGGGATCTTGGCAACGAGCATTTTTACTATTTTAATTGTCTCTTAGCATGGAAAAATAAAGGCCTGCACAATTTGAATCAGACCCATATTATACTGTGATAAACTATATCCACTGTAAGATAAGGCCTAACCCGAGTTCATAAATGAATGTGAAATCTCAGAAATTTACTTCACATGAAATGGCCATGTAGTTTCCCCGCCCCCCCCCCCCCCCCCTTTCAGCCCTTATCTCAAGAAGAGGCCTATGAAATTAAAAACCAGTTTGGCACTGAACTTAACATTGTTTATCGGACAGCTGACCCATTTTCTGTTGTGTACATAATTATAAGACATACACAATTAATTTTAAGGCTTTGATAAATGACAAAAGTGGCAACAGGTTAGGGTCAAGTCTCCATTTCTGCAGTTTAGACCAATCTATTATTTTTCTGTACTTTTTCAACCATATACCAAAGAATAGGTACCTGCAAATATTAAAACATAGGAATCTACAAAAAACAGTCCCAAATAAAGACCACAGAAGAAAATGCATCTTACGAATTAAAATTGGGGTTGGTATACATGACCATTAGTGTATATTTGGCTTTTTGGAAATTCCCAAAGATTCCAATCTGTTTCATGTAATGCTTCAAAATCTGGTGTGTCAAATTTTGGTCAGAAGAAATTCAATGAAAGTTTAAAACATATTTAACATAACAGATTCCCATGCCCATAATACTGCTTTATACAACTTTCTTGACTAGCGACCCGAACATAAATAATACTAATGAGTAAAGATCAAAACAAAGCAATTTTACAAAACATTTATTTTACATAGTACTCACATGATTTTGAACTGATGAAAGCGATAAAATACCAGACAAAAATGTATGAAATGGTATACCTTATGACTGGTTATTTTGGCAGATTGTGTCAATGTTTGTATGACAATGAGCACACAATTATAAATATTCATAATAGTTATTGTCCGGACCAATGTTACAACATCGTTACAACATTGTGATATTTACAACCTACAAAAACAACCTGAAATAAGGTACATGTACTTGAAATACTGATTACTCCTCTCAACCCCTGTCTCAATACTTAAGGTGTATCTTCATCCCTTACTGCCACATTCCAATGCCCTAAAATCACAAATACTTGACTACATCTGAATGTGTGGATCAAAGCACCTGGAGTCCATAAGATGATAAATAGACATCAAATATTGTTTCACTTTCCTCTGGAAATACTGACTATTTTATGTTATGTAGCATATGAAACAATTTTCTGATCCAGAAGAGTAAACCGAAGATACCCACCACTCTTTCAAAGATTGGAAGAACTCAAAAATGTGTACATAATTGTAACAACATGGAAATTCTTACATCAAACATTTTTCATATTACAACACACAAATCACTTGGGAAATAAACAATACAACAGCAGCTATGCATATAAATACAAAACAGCAATACATCTAGTACAGCAATGTCTAAAGCATGTTTGAAAATAAATGTAAATGTTCCACAATATTATATTACATGAGAACAGATCAACAACCTCCTTTTTAGAAAAATTGGTGGTAACATTTATCATTGAAACAATGGCTTCCTCATGTTGATAATGATCCAGAGCAACTCCATGAAAAAAAGGAGTTAAAACATGTCCAATTCCTTGATAGCCACCAACACTTCGGACTTTGTAAGGTATTAAATGTCATGTTAATTTTGCTTTTCTGTATGTTTTTCACTTTTCAAAACTGCCACAAAATATATCTATGGTACCTTTAGTATGTATGTCTTGTTAAGAGGTAATTTGTAAAAAGACATATAATACAGAGTATTGTGCATCTTGGCACTGGGTAATGCCATAGGATTACCAAATAATGCCAGTTTTTGATATATGTGTATCTGACATCAAATTTCTTTCAGCAAACACAACAGCAATTTCGGTAAAATTTCATTTGGTTGTCCAAGCAGAAAATAGCCAGATATATAGCTTCAAAGTAAGCCAATCAAATCAATAAAGGTATATCATGAAAGTAAAAGCCTTGGATTTGGTACAGCAGTGCTAAAGAATCACAAAGTGAATTAGTTTAACTAGTTATGTGATCATCCAAATATTCTAGAGTTTCACTTGCTTCACTGACATTTTGGAGATTCTGCAGTGAGCTGATAACCAATTAAAATCAAGATGACCCAAAGGTCATAATTGTCAAACTCATTACTTACTCTAAAAGAGATACACGTAACACAACTAAATAAATATTACACTGAATTCTGCTGGGACAACCATTCAAGTACACACATCTTGTAAAACCTTTTGTTCGAACGTATGAAATTCACAAACACACACACTTACATATCTTTCAATATTAATCTCTCCAGGTCCGTGATAATGTGCTGATGTTTAAAATGGAGACATGCACTACTGTAATCCTCACTCAAAGGAAAAATGACATGATGAACAACTCAACTAAACCTACACACAAATTAGACATTACTGCTGTAAGTTTTACCTAACATTTGTGTTGAAGGCATAGCCAAATATCAAAGGGAAAACAGAACTTGTAAATGATATTTTAATACTGAATTCATTCCTACATTTAGATTACAGGATGATATTCACCGAAGCCTTTCTAATAAGCAACCAAATAATTGAATCAGAGGATGGTACATACATATAAGACAGATGAGTTATTACAAAGTCACTTGACACACACAAAATTAATATTTAAGAGCTACATATGCATACAAGAAACAAATCTGTTCTGACACAAAATTTCAATATCATTTGGTCACTGGAAACCAAACTGAACTTCTGACCTGAATTTCAATTTCTACCAATCTATTAACAGGTCTTACTGGCCAGATGTAAACAACAATCAGTGACAATTTTGTTTCTGGTAAAAACAATTCTCTTAAAAGTTAGACACACTATATTGTATTAAATTATCATATGTAAAATGTATATACTATTTATATATTAAAAGTGTTTGCTCCCCATCAGATTTTTCTTATTTCTGAACTCCCAACAATTTGTCAACGCCAAAGTCATTTTAACAGCAGATGACGTTATCCACATCAAGCGAGTAAAATCCTGAAATTTTTCCTCCATCAAATTTGTTTAAAACTAAAACATAATCAACTGGTGGGATAAAAAGTTAGTGCATGCCCTGACAAGTGAATGCTGCTTAATGTGAGGACAATCAGAAAAAGATAGGTTCTGTTTGAAGGAAACTCTGGTCATCATCTTTCTGCTGGCCAGGTTTTGCTGGTGCTTTTGGGTATCCTGGTCGTGCTGGTGGAGTTTTGTAAAATCGATCATAATAACTTTGTGCAGATGTGGAAGAAGGTTCATGTCCATTTCCATAATCAGCTGGGTAACCATTGTAGTAATCGCTGCTCCTTGGGGGAAGAGAAGGAGGGGCCTCTGCACGCTCTTCTGGGGCATATCTGTTAAAAGAGTCCATACTTCTTAAATGACGGACAGCGAAATATACCTACAGCAACTGCATCTAACATGCAATGTTTTTATAGTATCATACTGTAATAAAACTTTCAATCAAAAAAATCTTAATACAATCAATTTCAATTGTTTAATCCCCTGCATTAACTTCATGATTTTTCCCCCAATTTCTTTTATCTCTTTAGTCCTTTTTGAGCTAGTAATCAAAAAATATAAATATGCATGTAACTTGTTAAGGATATAACCTGTTAATCCTATTATCTACAAGTGTAATAAACAATAAAGCATTATGCTTCAAATGGTTGTCATGAATTGTATAATTGTGGTGATTATGTTCCGTTTATAATAAGACAAAATTCTTATTCCTGACTCAAATTGATCACCTGATGCTAAAAATTCTGAATAGATAATTAGGTTGACTCCCAATGAAGTTTTGTAGGTAAGTTGATGCATGATGAAGGTAGAGAAAGGGGGGGTCTTGTTTTCTATCTATACATGTGTTCATCTATCCATGAATAGTTTACAGTAGTTATTCTTGTGATATCTGTAAGCTTTTGCTGTTGCATAATTATTCTGGATACTTTTGAAAAGCAAAGAACACATATAAAAAGCTCACCTTTAGATGCTGAAAAGTTGGCAAAATGATATATATCCTATCTAAATTTTTGATGTATGAACAAGTTGAAAAGGAAGTAAAGAGTTCTAATTACTATACAATTGACTGGTTTGAAACAATGAGAGGAGAAACTGATTGAAAACATAAAAGAAAACATAAATGACAATCCAAATCTTTGCACCTAAAATGAAATTATTTTTTTTATTTCTAGTAACTTGTGAAAAGTATATTGTTAGTTATGAGGCCTTATGAATCGTGAGGTTGGTACATAAGTACTTGTATGTGTGAATTAACTGCTGTATATATATTGCTATCAGCTAGATGATGATAATATAATGATGATAGTAATTGCACACAAATTTTCAATCTGGTTTTAAGAAAAATCTGTTTAATGTATAATACTATACACCTTTGATTAAGTCATGAAAAGGATACCAGATTCCACACACCTCCACTTACATTACATGCCATTCATATTCTCTATTCCCACATGATTTTCAAAAACCCCATGCAAATTTGTTTTCTTATTGTTAAAAAAATGAGTGTAATTTCTATTTTATCCATAAAAAAGCAATAAAGATCATTCGAAATTCTTATAAACATCTTCTGTTGATTGCTATGTCATAATGTATTTAGTTAGAAGTTATGACAACTGGAATATTGACAAAATATATCTCTTCAGTGTTGTATAGAACGTATGAATTTTTTTCATTAATTTCAAAGAATATTTAAACATTTATCAACATTCATCTGTCAAAATTAGAGGAAGATGTGCACACAATTAGCATCAAAGATTAAAAAAAAAAAGAAAAGAAAAGCACACACACACAAAGAACTACATCATTATATTAATTACTATTGTCCTTTATGTCTTGTATAGAAACATGAATTGATAAGTGTCTTCAAAAAGCTAGAAAGCATGCAACCATTGCCCCAATTTTTTCTAGTTTTGCAACCTTAGTAAAGCAGATGGTTGTGAAATGGTTGTTCAACATAAGTTTTTCTATAAGAATATTTCAAATACTTATGATGCAAAACGTCTTTTCATGAAGATTAATATTGTCTTTTTATATAAAACCAACATTTCAATAAAATGCACCCTGTCACCAAAACTACTCTAGCAGTGCAATGTGCAACATATAACAATGATTTCAACTGAACCTGTATAAGCATTTAGGTCTGGTGCATCACATCCTTGATACTCCAGTGATTATAATCACTTTCTCTTTCTGTACCCCTTGAACATGTCATAACAAAATTGAAGGCACAAGTGAAGTAGTTTGATTGGTTCCAGGAGAAAAAAAACTGACAAATCACAGATTGATACGCTCCTTTTGAATGTAACAAAGGAGCAACACCCAACTTCAAAGCCATTACAATAAACTGTGTGCTACCTCAAGATTTGACTGATGTTCATCAAAGAATCAAGCTGGTCTTTTCATCTTGTCCACAAGGTTGCACACAGTACATTCAATTTTGTCATGACCTGTTCCTGGGGTGCAAAAAAGCAAATGTTATCCTAACCTCTGGAGTATAGAGGATGGATGCACCAACATAAACAGCTGAATGGAATCAATATTTTTCATGAAACTCAAGTATTTAAATTATTAAACAACACAAAATACTGGTATGTTTGATAGTATTTGGTTTTACCATTGCCTAAATGTACATAACATGGAGATATGCTTTTTTGATTCATTTTAATCAAAGAAATTTATCATTACACATAACAATCCACTGACCTTTTTCTTTTACTGTTGTACTGTTTTAGTGTAAGTTTATTCTCAGAAGAATCTTTTTTTTTATTTTATTTTAGATTGGGTACACAAGATTTTAATGAAAGCTGTAAACAAAGGGAAGATTCTGGTTATTGTCAGACACCATGATAATGGGCATTAAAAATTCTCACCTGGCCTCAAGGTAATATGTGTCATCATACCGGTACCTAAATGGAAACATCACTCAATTTTAAAACATCACTATTCAAACCTTCTACAATGCCCAGTTCCTTTATATCAACGGCTCTGTATCCTTTTAGACCCAGTCACTATACAATGAGTTCAGTAAATTTCCTTGTACTTTGATGAACCATTTAACCACTTTATTTCACATCCACTACTTAACTCCTAATTTGCAAAAGCAATTAAACAGCTGCAAATAGTAAAAATAAAAACTGTGCACTAAAGATAACTGACTTCTACTGAGATTTGCTGTTTTAGAAAGCAGTAATGCTAATCTATGGAACTGTTCAGATCAAAATTCATGGAAATTTACCTTTTTGGTTAATTTTCAATAGTTACAGGTGAAGAAAAAAATGTCAATAATTACAATATGCATGTCTCACCTCGCCTCTGGGTAATACGGGTCATCTTGTGGGTACCTGTTTGAAGAATATAGCTTAATTCACACACAAGTTATTGATTTCAAAAACATTTCAATTTTGCAATGCTTTACAGATTAGCAAAGTTTAATTTTCTAAGCCTTTTTCGAAGACCTAATTTGTTTTCATTACTTTAAACAATAGACTAACACATGATTTACATTTACATCTATATGTGAACAGAATCTCTTTTTAACTTCTTTTGATTTAGTATGAAGAACTCTTCTTGGAGAGGAAAAACCAAGGTGAAATCTCTTTGCTGGTCTAAAAGGTTCAATGCTGTTCAGAATAAAATACCCTGTATTACATTTGATTCTGTATGCATATTATGGAAGCCTAGCAACCGATCCAGTGAAATATTTTCACACTAAAATTGAGGCGATCTTAGATTTTTCATCCATCCTCATGCAAAAGATTTCAGAGTAACTTGAAATGATAATTCACAAATTCACTATGGCACCAGTTTATCGAAGAGAAAGGTGAATTACACATGAACATGTGGAAACTATTTCTAACAAATTGTCTCAATGATCATGTATTCTTACAATAAGGTAAAGCTAGTCACAATAAAAATAGAGAATTAATTATTGTTTTAGTGAAAAAAAACTTCTCCTAAACCTCACGCTGTAATGTTGTAATTCAAATAATAATTCGGGTAAACTACTGAAACAAGAATCCAGCCACATGAGCAAGTCAAAGTGTTACAGACTCCTCACTTAAGTCGGGGTATAAAATCAAATAATAACAAAATTCTTCCATAATTGAAAAGGTGAGTGATTTTTGCATCTTTTCAAATTTGACAACTGATGAGATTTTGTGCAGTCAAAATAGCAAGATTTCTTTTGACATGACAACACTTAAAACGAGTGTAAATAAAATTTATCTAATTGTAATCCAACAGCTTTATTTACATTCCTAGTCAATAGATGGATATTTTTTGTCTTTATCCGATGGAAACTATTTACTTTCCACTTTTACGCTCTGGATAATACACCAAACTATTATTCCATCTTTTACCTTTTTCTTTCCACTTTCATCTTAAAATTGTTATTATCTCACAATTGAAAATCTTACGAAATCATCTTACATCTTTCAAGACATTAGTGATACAAATTGTCTAGACAATTGAAAATCCTATGAAATCGTCTTGTACCTGACTTTGCTTATAAAAATATCTATTTATGACGATATATTAAGAATAATTTTATCCATTAGTTTTTTACATTATCGTAATACATTTATATTTATGTTATGTACAGATGTAATGTTTTGCTCCCTACTCACTCTTATTTTTACACAATTTCAAATGAAATTAATATGCATGAAAATTTTTTCACAGGATATTGAACTTGGACATTAAAAATTACACAATTTATATTATGTAAAATAAGTTTTCAGGAAAAATCAATTACCTTTCGGAGTACATTAGTCTCTTAATAGTACACTTATATGGTCTGTTATTAAGATTTTGGGTGAAAAGCAACAAAGTTGAAAAACTCAAAAACACAACATAAAATAAGGGTCAAACACTTTGAAACTTGGCTACATCAACATTGCATGAGAACTATACACACAAGTGGGATTCATATACATAACGCAGCATGCAAGTTCAAAGTCTCATATATACATAGATACTTCATATTATGAAACAATATTTAATGAAGTTTCCATGTAATATTCAAATGAATTACACCTTAATACAAATCTCATTTCTGCCTTGTCCAAGTTGTTTTTCCCTTTAAACAAGAAAGGCTCGAATGAAATATGAACGTAATATTGTCCAACAAACTTGAAAATCAAGTAAGTTGTTACTGTGTTTACCTGGGTCTACTATAATAATCTGGTGGTGGCCTCCTGTAGGGATCAGCTGGTGGGGCTCTTGGTCGCTCATACGGCCTGTCATAGGGGTCAGGGGGTGGTGGTCTTCTGTCATAAGGGTGATATCTATCCCTCAGGTAACGGTCCTCTGGAGGAGGAGGGGGACGTCTATCATCTGATCGTGGTCGATCTGCATAGGGCCTATCATAATAATCATATGGTGCTGGTCTTCTGTAGTATGGGTCATATTCTGGAGGGGGTAGGGGACGACTGTCACTGGAGTATCGGTCTGATCCTCTACCACGACCACCTCCTCCTCGTCCTCTCATAGGCCCACCACTACCACCACCACGTCCTCTTCCACTACAAATCATTAAGTGTAGATCAAGTTAATCAAATGATCAGGAAACAAACTATTTTTTACAAACCTAAATTTTCAGATGATAAACAGTTTTTCTAGATAAACAAAATCTGAAACAATGGTCAGTATATCTATTTTGACTGGTTATGAAATTTTACTGAAGATTTTGTGTTTATCAATCATGACACTTGTGATGTCAGTTTTTGTGTTGATCGAACAAAATTCAACGGTCAAGTGTGTATTATTAATCCAAAGCAAGAAATCTTACCGTCCTCGTTCACCTCCAAATCCTCCTCGTCCTCCTTTAGATGTGCCGGTGGATAACTGTTGTAAAATGAATGATATTTTATAAGTAGAAAAAATTCATCAAGACCATGTTATTTGTACCTTAAAATCTGTAAAACACTAAGGACAGTTTAAAAACAGAAATATCAAAAATAAATAGATTTCCCTGTAAATGTTGTCATAAAAACTCAGGAAATGTAATAAAACAAGTGACAAGATACTGAATACATTATTCTGAAAGGTATATTATCTGGTTGTACACACCTCCACACGTATACGGTTTCCCTTGACTGTTGTTCCATCAAGTTCTGTTATTGCCATGCGAGCTTCCTGCTCGTTGGCCATGTGCTGAAAACAATTAAAAAATGTATTACTACTGTCCAATAAACATAGCAACCAACTTCTTGCACCACATTTCATTGAATTCTTATACATTTGTAGGAACTTCAACACAAATCAGTTAAGTCTTCACTTTTCAATTGGTTTGCTTGATCAGTTGAGTTGTAACATGCATGGACAATATATGAAATTCCTTCTAACACTTATTTTCACTTTATGTGCAGGCAAGATAACTGTAAAATCAACAAGTTTACTCACTACAAATCCATAGTTCTTTAGAACGTCACATTCACTCACTGAACCGTATTTCTCAAACAGAACACGGATGTCAAATGCCTCAGTGTTTCCACTCAAGTTACCAATGAATATTTTTTGGGGCATCTTTTATTCCCATCTGGAAGAAAGGGAAATCATTGATATAAACAATGTAAAAAACATTTTATAAGCTTGTTGTTCAGTGTTTTATGTACTTATGTTCTGAAATTCTCAGTCCCCTAAAATTTGCAACAAGATCAATATATTTTTTTGCTTTAAACCTAAATACTTTCAAATATAGTTCTACAGAACACATTCTTGGTTTATTTATCCATGTAAAAAGCTGGTATAAATCCCTAACTGAATATAAATAGAGAAATACTTACCATTTGTTGTCAATAGCAACTATAATTTTACTGGATTAGATATGTCTTAAGCCATGACAGAAATATATGACTTTCAGTCCAAACCAACAAAGACATGGTCTATAGCTTTTGCAAGGACAAAGTTGGCAGCAATCAATGCTCTAAGCATGTGGATAGTGCACAGTAATTGCTGTTCCAAAATGGAATATGTGACCACTCATACATATTCCTCATGAAATATTTTAATTCAAGTATCTTATTCTTCTAATTAGAAGAAATTAACACTTATGTACCTATTGTAATGCATCAATTAACTTTCCCAAAAACCCTTCCAGTATCTGAGTAGTTCCTTGTTCATTTCAGTTCAAATCATGTGCATTTTTTACATATAATTCATCAGTTTATATGCAGTAATGCATGTGGTTGTGTGCAACAAAAACAACAACATTGCACAAATGCATCGACAACGTATTTTCATCTATATTGAATGGTAAGGTTCCAAAAACAAGTTATCTTTATCAGATGATAAAAATTTCTATAGTTTATCTTTTTGTTTTTTTCCATTTTTGCAAAAATTGCCAATGAATCATACGCATTCGGCTTAATATTCGTGTGTTACGAGAAATTGGTGCAAAACCAGATATGCAGTGCTACATGAATTTACAAACATTAAATTGTTTTCAATGGCAAAGAAACCCACTTAGAAATACATATGACATTTATTTTGTTTGTTTGTTTGTTTTTTAAATCAGTATTATCAATACTGAATCGAAACAAAAAGCGCTTTTCATTTTGAAGACTTTTCATTGTTTATAATCTTCATTTCATAAAACAATTATGACACTTTAACGAAATTAAATGTCCCATAAAATATCATGTTTTATTAAGTTCTCCAGCTGTCTGCAAAGTGTTCCTCTCCATTTCACTGCAGAATTCATCATCATCAATACATCCTGGAAAAGAAAGAAAAACCAACAATGAACAGTTTGAAATTAAACAAAGGTTACAAGTTGGTTTTTTTTTTCAATCATTCTATTCCATCAAATAAGAGGAAGTTATGTTTTCTTCAGAAATATTAAGGAAAAACACTTCTTATATAGTTTTATGAAAACAGCAACATATGTTTTAAGATATACGAAACATTTTGATCTTATGAAAATATACTTATCAATTTTAATATTATTTTCATACGAATGATTACATGTACCTTCAACACTAAAACTAACAATTATTTATCATAAATAAAGAAAAACAAAAAAATATGGTAGAGTCTTAATAATGTGGCACTTTGCTTGGAAACGGGAGGTACTCCTGAACTAAAACTGTGATGTTTAACGGTATTTCACCGAGGACACAGCTTAATGCAAATGTGAAACAACGGCAAACGGCTTTCACATCGACGAGAGAAGAGTTGCGACAAGAACTTCGGTTCAACAATGACACTGATATTTGTAGTCATACATAACTTTCGGCATGATATTTCAGAGTAGTAGTAGTTTTTGTGATTCGGTTGCCTGGACAGTACATTGTATGTAAGGAAATCACGTTTACTTTAACTCATTACTAACTGGTCTTGTCGACAAGCGCGAAACTTGCAAATACTTAAATGTTATTTATTACTTTTGATTTCTGTCGTCAACTTTTGTCGAATAGAAGCCATCCTTAAAAGACTTACCTCTGTTTGGTTCTATCGGTCACACGAGTCCAGGCGAAATGTACGCTTTATTGCAACACCTTTAGCATTTGTATAAACCAAGGAAAGAAGAAAGGATTTGTGATCGGATTTCACATATTCAATCATATAAATACAGCTTTGATGAGGCTTTCGATTCAAATGGATCAAAGCTTTATCGGAGGTAAACAGAACGGCAAAAATTAACATTAACTACTACAATTCAACAATATATGTTGATACTCAAGGGGCATTAAAGTTCGGGTGCAAACATGTTTCAAAACAGTAATAATATCACTCAATTCAACTAGATTTTCATACCTAAGGGAACTAACCATGAAGGAAGTTAGAAATATTTTGAAGTAAATAGTAAATATAACTTGCAAAAGACAAGTTACACTGATATCAGGGATACAATTGGTCTTTAAAATGTATTCAAATCAGTATTACCTGTATACATATAATATACAAGTATTTGCTTAAAGCAAGACAGTTTTTTAAAGTTTAAATAATTACTGAAGCCAGAGACTGTTATAATTAGCACTGCATATAAAAATGAAAGCATAGTGAAATCTGATGTCTAGGTCCCATTTTCATATGAGGTAAAAAGTATTCTTGGCAAGTGAAAGTACAATTCTGCCAAATTGATTAATCTTATCTGTTGTCAATCATGGCTCTTTGCCAGATCACAACAGCATCTTGATATAAGCAATAATGGTGTTTTGATGCATACCAAAACCAAACAGGGAGATCAATTTACATATTTAGCATGATTCCAAGTTTAATTATCTTCAAACTGAAATATATGATCTCTTATATCTGAGAAAAAGACAAGAGTATCTTCCCAAATTTAAAGAAGTTTGAATAATTGAACTAATTTATATAGGCACAGACTGCTGTAAAATTCAGGTATAAGGTCACTGCAAATATGTACAGAAGTGTGGGGAAAGATTGACTTACACAGGCCAAAGACAGAGAAGCCTAGCTAGTATTTGTAAAATGCAGTCGGATCTTGCTGGTAACCAAAAGAAATTGCTCTGACATATTTAAAGTAGACATAACAGTCTTTAACTTCATTAAAAGAAAAAAATAATGAATTTCTGGACCAGCCTTGTTATACATAAGTAGACAATTATTCATAAAATGGTATACTGTCTTAGTCAACGAGACCAACTTGGGATTAACCTCTCACAAACTTTCGGGTACATATTACTATTGATACTGAGATATTTGTGTGATCTGGCGGAGAACTCGACTTGTGTAACTAAGTAAACATGTTACACTGAAAAACATAATTCACAGTCAATCTTTACTTTCTCATTAATCAGAAAATAAGTGTGACTTCTGTGAAGACGACAAATGCATGCTATTTCTAAAACATCGTTTTTCTTCTCTTGTCTTGATTTCACGCCACTGAAAATAAATTGGAATTTGTTTAAAATTTTATACATATGAAAATGCAATCCTTTAGCATTAAGCCACTTGGAAAAGATATGATTAGTTTGTGATTTCAAAAAGTCCTTGAACATCATCAAGCAGGATACTACTTTTCGCCATAAAGCGTGCGAACGCGCGTTTTCGGGCGAATTCGAATTCCTGATCGATCCCTGATCCGGCAACATCGGAAGAAGGCATTTGGTGGCTGTAAGGATTCATGAAAACACTGATACGAGGTCAGTCATGTAACATACAAAAGGACGGTCAGTACCTACATTCCATTTATAATACCACGGCTACACATAATGCCAAAGAAAAATGCATTGTCTTTTTCTTTTCGCCGGCGTCGGCAGAACGGCATTGTATCTCAATTCGAAATTGGAAAATAGTCCAAGTTAAGTGTTCGATAAACCTCGAGGTTATTAAAAAACGGTCTAAAGCATTATAGATTAGTTTGGAATGGGTTTTTTAATTTCATATACAGACCTGATGAAGTGACTTTCGCTGAAAAATATCGTTAATCAGAGATGTTTCACAAAACGTGCTTCCAAGATGGCGGAGATTTGTGGAAGTGACGTCACGATTTGCAAATCTGTCGTGAAAGCTATAAATTCATTGGTTAAGTTGAACATCAGCTACCAATGAGAAAGTGTGTAATATCATTGCACGATCATAGGAAAACAAACCAGCATGGGCCCAAGACGGCATGGATGGGGTGGAAAGAAAAGACATAAAAAAACAAAAAGGCCAGCAAAGAAACAGAAAACTGAAAATGGCAAGAGGTGAACTATGATGGAAATTATAATTTCCGAACAGATGAATGAACTGGTGATCAACTCCCTATCCCTATTGAATTCCGCATGTTGGGATGACAATATTGAATACCCTCTATTAAGTGTAGTGTAATGACATAATTATCTAGATCTAATGTGTACTGAACGGGTTTAGGTTAAAGCTTAATCAAGAATTGTTGACACAAGTTAATTAACAATCGATTGTGGTCGTGGCTCTGGGTCCTAGTAGGACGAGGAAGATTTAAATAACCCATTTCGACAAGCTCCTGTGTTAGACACCTCATTAGTAAGGTACACGTGACCGTGTAATTGGATGAACAAAGTTAATACATGTTTCACACTCATAATTATAATGACATTGTTTCTCTATGGTCTAAATACACTTTGAAGTTTTTAACAGTTTTTGACATATGTACACATATACACGAAGATGCATACATACTTCTAAACACTGATGTACTAACAGGGATCTGATCAACACATTAAATTTACATCAATGCGTGAAACAGGTAATATATGCTAAAATCATTAGGATGAGTAGTAGTGCTTAGAGTCCCAGTAAACATTTATAGTAACAGAAGGACAATATGACACTCACAAAATATTCAATAAAAATGCTGTACCACTGTCTCTTGAAAAACTTCGATAGTTATTAAACTATCAATACATGGAACAGTCTCCAGTTCCAGATTGAATGAACACTGCAAACATAATGTTTTGGTATACATTATACATCATATTAAATCACACATTGTACTTAAATTGATACTTTGTCTTGATTACTAGATCACTACCAGAAAAGCCAAGTGAAACCAGAGAGGCATCTCAGGAGGTTTGTATTTTCTTATTTTTCTGTACGTTTAGAAAGTTGAGCATAAATGAAGTATAAACTTTGTACTTACATTAAAAAATGTCATGATAAGTGGTTATAATAAATTATTAGACCCCAAGCAGTTGAACTGAGGAAAATCAATTTTAGGTCAGAGATCACATTTTCTTTTTATTACCATGGAGATGCACATGTCATAATTTAGATGTATTGCATTTATTTTGACTGTGAGTTACGCTTTTTCAGCTTTGAGTTTTCTTTTATAATTTCGATCATCATGTTAATACACCTCATTCCATGTTAACATATCTGCCCCAGATGAGTAGCTTACAAAAGAATGAAACATTAGGGAAAAGATTCTCATGAAATTGATAGACATATTGTTATCTAGTCATATTCTGTGATCTTTGGGTGTAGTTGTCCTAGAACATTTAAATGTACAACATTTTAAAAATACTTGTGGACACTAATCCTATAATTTCTGTGGCATAAGAATCAAATAATGGTGATTATGAACCAGGAATGCACATATATTATGGAAATATTGCTGAAAAAATTCTAAGAATTATGTTCATTTATGGGCTGATTTTTTTATTTTCTATTTTTTATGGTTATTGGAAATAAATCTGTTGTGTCAGTACATCACATTCCTTGTAATTGCAGCCCTTTTTAATGTCTATGATTATCGTCCACTGCAGTGTATGCCAGACTGTTTGAATTACTCACATGTGTAGGAAAATTGTTCAGATGGTAAACACAAGCTTAACCCAAAACATTACCTTTCACCTGTACTTTAGGTAAAGAAATATTTTTATTCAATAATTCAACAATATTACATTTGGATATAGTTTATCTTTGATGCATAGCAGGTATGAAATTGATTGTTCTTGTTTAGGAATTCAGCACTATGATAGCAGGACATCCAGAATGCTTTTATCTAATAGATATGAAAATATTCTTATGAAATGATTTAAGATCTTGAGAGTGTTTTAATAATAGTGTGTTTAATATTATACTTATAGACCTGATTTACTTTTTATATATAAGAATCAGTTTGTTTGAATAAAATGGTTTAGTTGTAAAATCTTTCGACCACAGGTGCTAGAATCCAGCTCGTCTGAAAGTGAAGAGGAGATAAGTGACTACCAGAAACTTATGTTCTCCATCAAGACTTCAGGTGCTGGTACAGGTAAAATGTTTCATGACTAACAATGTTATTAAGGTCTTACTTTGAGGACATCTTTCCATTAGAAAATTGCTGATCATCTTTGAAAGGAAAAAGTGTTGCTTAAACATTACATGCTCATAAATGTCTTTGAGCTTAACATTACATGGACATTACTATTCTCTTCTTTCGGAGGGACATTCATTAAGTAGACATTCACCATCTCTTCACACCTGGAACCCCCTGTGGGAACAGAGATCGTAAGTGATAGTAACCCCTAGAATTTGGAGGATGCAATATTATTGACCTTTTTTTTTCAAAATCAAAAGTTCCTTATTTGTTAGAATAGTAAGTACATCAGTACATTGTCGGATTAAGTTAAGTTTATTTCTGGTGCAGGACATTTTTATCAAGCAGATGTCAATTATTTTATTAGATGATGCAGAATCAAGTGAGGAAGAAGATGATGATGTAGGTGACAATAACAAAGATGAGAATGAAGATGATAATATCAGTGATGATGAGTTAGAAGAAGAAGATGAAGAGATGGATAATGTTAATGAGGTGAAGGGAAAAGTCATGGCAACAAAAAATATAGAGGAGGAGGAAGAGGTCATTGGGAGTGATGAAGATGAAGAGCATTTCCAAATGAAAGAATCAGGTACTGATATTTTCTGAAGATTTCTAGCTATTGTTCAGTATTGATCCCTGAAGCCCTCATAATGTGTACTAAACAAGCGCTCTCTATATAATTAGATCTTGGATGAGGTCAACATGTCATCCTCCCATTTTGATTCAAATGCGTCAAATTCTCAATCATCCCTATACAGACCTGTATTCAGTCATACTCATCCATTACGGAAGAACACTCTTCCTTTTATTGATAACTGATCTAAATAACTTGATAGGTTCAGGTATGGTTTTAAAAAAGAAACACAAAAGACAGTTTTCAATGGTCATGGCATTGATATTATTAGGAAATTGCTATCAGCTTTAGTCTGTCATTCCATTTCTTTCTTATTTAGATCCTTTCAGCATTCATTTTGAAAATGACAAAGAGGAAGACTTAATCACAGATTTGGAGAAGAAAGAATCATGGAAGAAATCGAATACAAAGGTTAGACAGTGATTTTAGGGATTCAGATATCTTAGTCCATGACTCCTACTGTTGTGGAAATCACTAAAATTTTGAGAAACTGCTATATGTCTGAAGTGTGGGGACTGATCAGAATTTTGGAATTGGTGTTCTGGACTGACCTGAAAAAATCCTACAAAAAATCACTGGTTTGATGATTGTTTTGTAAATATATTTCATTCCTCCTTGGAAGGATATTTATTTCAGCCATGAAATTGCATAGAATCATGGTATGTAAGAGTTTAACTGATTGACCATTTGTTGGGTCGTGGTAGCTCTGGCAGTAAAGCGTTTTACTTTTCATCATCTGGTGACAGCCTCTGTGTTTCTCAGTTAGCCAAGAAATGTCAAATAAATCTGTCCTGTTGCAGTTATTCTTGGTCATGTTACTTTATTCCAGTTGCTTTTGATGAAATGTAACAGGTCTTCAGTATTTTGTTTATTGAGGTAGCCATCAACTGCTACACAGAAACCGCTTGCTGCAGATTTAGTGTATTGAGATTTGAAACGGTAGCCTTTATATCAGAATTTAAAATATTGTTGGAAAAATGAAATTGAAATTCATAAGTTAATTGAATCAGTCATGATAGACCTGTCTGACCAAATATTCTTCAATAACTTTGGATTTCTATCAACTGATTTGAATATCTACTGTTAAATCAAACCAAAGTTATCATATGTGTCTTATTGTTATCACAGGTCCCACATATCGGCAGTGCCTCTGTCATGACCTCAACACACCAGTCCAAAGTCAACTCCACAGACCGGGACCTAAAGAAGCAATATGTATGAATATGAAACATAATTTATCATCCTAACCACTGTTAGGATGGATATTCAGATTAGTTAAATTCAATTAGTCTTGCCTCAGTTAAATAAATTCCAATGTAAAATGTTTGCGATCATAGGCATGTTTCTTAAAACCTCTTCTGAGAAATGAATGATCTTTCAGTTATAAAAGCATGTCCTGTCTTGATATTGCAATGCAGTAATTTTACCTTACAGTATACATTCATACAGAGATTGGCACTTTCTAAATTTTAGGTGAAGTCTAAGCTGTGTACTCAGGTGTTAGAGACAAATAAGAAACAGTGTGATGTGGAACAGGACTTTGGAGACTGTAAGTTTCACATTGGTACTTCATTATCAGTTTTGTGGGTCTGATTTTATACCTTCACTTGATCTTTATCTCTCCTGGCTAGATTTCTGTACATCGTGTGATAATTATTAATAAGAAATGAATATAAGTAATTAAGCATTAAAGTGTTTTTAAGATTTAAATTATTGCTTTTTTGTTGTGATACATTCGTTTGCATCTCTCTATTGATACTTTAATTATTTCAGATCCTTTGACTGGTTTCCAGGAAAGCTTGTTTAAGATTATCAATAATTATCAGGTAGGATATAAATCATACTCATTTATACATGAATCTGCAGTGGTTATATTACAAGTGAGATTGTGCAGTGATTTGTTCCTGTGAACTTTACACTTTATAAGAACTCTATGGATTGTATGTAAACATTTACTTTAGTGAGAAACTTAATTTTACCATTAACATATTTGTTGGTAATTCAGTATTGTAGACCTATCTTGCATCGTTTCTCGCTTTGGTTTTATTTATTATCCGAGATATACTTTCAAGTCTGTTTTTTTACAGGACCTGTATCTACCTAACAGAACGATTTCTAATGGAGAACAGATTCGTCTTGTATATTGTCTTCATGCTCTCAACCATGTCCTTAAGTAAGTTATGTAAACCTTTGTATGTCTCCAATATGACAGCCATTCTGTCATAATTTGGTTTCTGCAGATTTTCTGTTTGCTAGATGTAGATATTGAATTATGGTATCTACTTGTATAATGAGGAGAGTTTGAGATACGGCTGAAGTTCTTATTTGATTTTGGTCATTTTTCCGCAAGAGTAACGGTTCTTGAACATAGACAATTAGAAAAATTAGCACCTCCTACTCATTTTCTCAGAGATGGATTAGGATGTGGAATTGAAATTCTATATGCATTTGTATTGTTTACACCATGTCAGCATTTAATCAGCTATAGTTAACAAATACCTGACTGGCTTAGTCTTTAATGTCATGAGTACACGTACCTCTTAAAATGATACTGAAAAGTTCCAAACATCTCATCAGTTTCTGGGAGGGACATTTGTAAAACACTATATCAAGTTGTATAAGGAAAATAAATCTTAATCTTCTTCATTATGCTGTTGTTGCGTTTCATAGTTTTGAAGTCAGTTGTTTCCTTTTTCATTTGAAAGAACTAGAAGTCGGGTCATTACCCATAACACTAAGCTGAAGAAACGAGGCGAAGACCAAACAGAGTATGTATATGCAGCAAATAATTGAAAATACTTCTACAAACTAGCAGAGAAATTTCTGTAAAAGAACTTCTAAGTGAAATACCCATAGAGTATAATGCAATATAAGTAATGTACACAAGGACATGGAAAAAAAAATGCGTAATAGGTATATAAGTTTATTGAACAAATGTGTTTAATAGCAAATTGAAATGGTTTTAAGGTTCTTAGAAGCTTACTGAAGTAAAATGTACATGTGAACTTCATGTTGTTCATTGTAGCTTAATCAAGTGCATTTGTATATAAAAAAGCATGTCATTATCCACTATTATCACTGTCACATAACAGCTTTGTGATGTATAGTTCCAGTGAATACAGAGATCAGGGCCTAACTCGTCCAAAAGTCCTAATAGTTCTTCCATTCAGAGAAGCTGCTCTTCGTGTGGTTAAGATGATGACTAGTCTGTTGATACCCAAGGACCAGGTAATGCTTGTTTATTATAAATACCATCCATCCAATATGTTAACAGTGAAATCTTAATTGAAAAAAAAACATGTTCATATCTCTACACTTTGACAGGAATGAATACATTGGTTTTTATGTAGCTGTTCATTTCATCAAGATGTTCTTTAAAACATGAAGCTTTGAAATAGATCATTTGAAAATACCACATTTGTTCAGTAAATTGCCTCTGATTTCAGTATTTTCAGTACTTTGATTTGAAATCTTGCTTGTTATATTTTTTTTCTGAAAATTTTTCTCGGTGGAATTTTGTCTAAAACACACTTTAGCATTAATTGTGTTTTGCCATGTTTCATTGTTGAAACCTGAAATCCAAGCAGTTTGAATTCAAACATAAGTCACATGCAATGTTTAGTGTTTGTAATGCCAAATATTCAAAATATCATATCATGATAAAAAAGGTTCATAGGTTCCACTATTACAAACTTCACCTTGTTATTTTCAACATCAGGAAGTACTGTTGATGTAATCTTGTTATTTCGAACAACAAAAAGAAAGTGAAGACAAGTGGTGTTTTTTTCTGGAACATGTTTATAGGAATGTTACTGCTTTTGTTCATTGTCAGATTTACAGTAATTGATCAAAACTTATTTTTATCCAGTACATGATTGAAACTAAAATTAAACTGGTAGCCCAAACAGATTTTTCACTAAAGTCCAGTTATTTTGTGGAAGAGAATTGAAAATTTTCAGTTATTTTCCTTTTACACATAATTATGTTGTGGGCCATGATCAAATACTTAGATAGAGGAAGAGTATCAATGAGGGAATCTCCCACTGAAGAAGCATCTTAGATAAAGAAAGAGTATTGGTGAGGGAATCTCCCACTGACGAACCATCTTAGATAAAGAAAGAGTATTGGTGAGGGAATCTCCCACTGACGAACCATCTTAGACAAAGAAAGAGTATTGGTGAGGGAATCTCCCACTGACGAACCATCTTAGATAAAGAAAGAGTATTGGTGAGGGAATCTCCCACTGACGAACCATCTTAGATAGAGAAAGAGTATTGGTGAGGGAATCTCCCACTGACGAAGCATCTTAGATAGAGAAATGGTTAGGAAATCTCCCACAGCTAGAGAGAGAGAGTGATGATAGATTTGCTTTAGTATGGCTTGGTGATGAAATGATTTGCTCTTTTTTCAGAAACATGTGATTGGTAATAGAAAAAGATTTTACTCAGAATATACAGAACTGGATAAAGATATCAAGAAACCAGCAAACAAACCTGGTGAGTAAGACATATTTTATTACATGTTTCAGGTAAATCAACTCTTTGTAATCCTCTGAATATAAATGGTTTTTCTTGCAGAAATAATCATAATATCTGGTGTGAAGAAAAAAAATTAGTCCAGATGTGATTTTTGTTGTTGTCGTGACTGACATATCACCTACTGTGGATTCATTTATTTTCGTTGGGTTCACTTTTCGTTGTTTCTACAAAATAGACAGTTTCGTGGACTCATAAATTCGTGGATTTTTGATTCTGTGGGAAAAAAATAAAAACGTTAGAATTTTCTCTTTTTGCTTCCAGTCGAAATTTTTTCTGTTTGTATTAAGGCTCTGTTCACAGGAATTAACACTGATGACAAGAATAAAAGAACGTTTTTTTTCAAGATGGCGTCCTGTGTTTTTATAACGCTGGTTTCTGTTTACAACAGTCTCGCATTAATATCAAACCACAAATCAGTATATATCCTGGCGTGTAATCAATCAGTAATTATCAGAAACAATTGCTTTCAGTGGATAAACATTGTGTGCTGATCAGTCGGTGTACCGCAGTCATATGAAAACACCACGCGTATCGATTGGACCATGTGTGTAAACAGGTGTGTAAACAAGATCTGCAGAAACAATTATGAAGTAAAAACACAACTCACTGTCGATAGTATAAAGAAATCACAGTGATGAACATATCATTAATAATATGTAATTATATATCGTTGACACCAATTTAGCGTATCCATGTCGAGCCTCAGACTACCCGACTCCCGACTAATTACGGGGCTTCTGTCATTACCGGTGGACGTTTCCGGTGTCGGCAAAGATTACTTGGTCAAATTCCAAAATTACTTTAGTAAGTAGTTCATATTTCGTTGTGTTTTTAAATTCGTGGATTTGCTCATCCACGAAAACAACAAAAATTGGACCCCCACGAAATAAAATGAATCCACAGTATCATACTATGTTTCAACTTCTCATATTAAACATTACTTTCCTATTTGGCATATTGGATTTTATGCCAACAGTTTGTGAGAACCCACGGCAACTCGCTGTTATATAAGTGGAAGGTTATTATATGAGGGTGGTGTCTAATAAAGGGAAATGAATGTAAAATAATTTCCCCTCCAGATGGAAGAAAGAAACACCAAGGCCAAAGCAGCATAATTTTAACTTTGTATGTGTTATTCATTTGAAATTAAAAGTATGGAGTCAAAGAGAAAACAAATTGCAAGTGTTGTGTGATGGAATGTGTGACCTTTCTTTGTGTGATGGAATGTGTGACCTTTCTTTGTGTGATGGAATGTGTGACCTTTCTTTGTGTGGTGATTTGTGTGACCTTTCTTTGTGTGTGACCTTTCTTTTTGAGATGGATTGTGTGACCTTTCTTTGTGTGTAACCTTTCTTTGTGAGATGGATTGTGTGACCTTTCTTTGTATGTGACCTTTCTTTGTGTGGTGAATTGTGTGACCTTTCTTTGTGTGTGACCTTTCTTTGTGAGATGGATTGTGTGACCTTTCTTTGTGTGTGACCTTTCTTTGTGAGATGGATTGTGTGACCTTTCTTTGTGTGTGACCTTTCTTTGTGTGATGGATTGTGTGACCTTTCTTTGTGTGTGACCTTTCTTTGTATGTGACCTTGCGTTGTGTGTGACCTTTCTTTGTGAGATGGATTGTGTGACCTTTCTTTGTGTGTGACCTTTCTTTGTGTGATGTATTGTGTGACCTTTCTTTATGTGTAACCTTTCTTTGTGTGACCTTTCTTTATGTGATGGAATGAGTGACCTTTTTTGACAGAGGGACTTTGGGATGTAAGACTTTATTTCAGATCTTTATCCAGATTTGAGACCTTTCATCATTGCTGTCTGAAAATGTGGCAGAAAGGAAATATTCCATGAAAAAATACTGTTATTCTAATTTTTTTATGTTTGTAGCTGAATACGACGAAATATTTTCCGGAAATATTGATGATCATTTCCGTGTAGGCATTAGTGTAGCCAAAAACACCCTCAAACTGTATACACCTTTCTACAGTTCTGACATCATTCTCGCTTCACCTCTTGGTTTACGCACAGTGATTGGAGCAGAGGGGTAAGGCACTTAAATTATAATATTAAATTCACCATCAGTTGATGGAAATTGAAACCACATTCCCACATGCTGTGTGCTTACAGACATTCTATGGTTTACTTGAAAGAGTCAAGTTAAAGCTGATAACTTCCTATATCAGTTATTTCTTATAGTTAAATACAAATGCCTTAAGCATACAGATAAATATTAGTTTTCAAATTTCTGCTTCCATGTAAGACAACATACACATGTTGTGGAATTGATGAGTAACCTGGGTACAACATGTGATTATATGTAGGAGATAACTTATTAAAGGCTCTTCATGGAAAAATTAAAAATAGGATGCTTCACATTCTGATGAAGAACGCTTCAAGTTATTTAATGAATTGCTTAAGTGAAACTTGATCATGTTTTTGTCCACAGAGATAAGGAACGTGACTATGACTTCCTGAATTCCATTGAGCTCCTGATATTTGATCAAGCTGACATCTTCCTGATGCAGAACTGGGACCACATTACTGTGAGAATAAATTGTCAAGGCAATTTATTAAACCTAGATGCAAAGACAAACTGATCTCACAGATAGAGAATTTATTATAAATAAACCCATTTGTCTCCAAAAAGAAATGTTTTTTGTGAATATCATTGTTTACAATGAATAACTGTTACAGCTATCTTAGTTAAATCTCTCTATTTCACCTTAGGATTTCAGGTTTAATTTAGTGGTACCACACATAGATGTTTTATTATTAATTTGCTAAGAAGAAAGCAACAGAAAACCATACATAGAAATTATTTATTTTGGAGTCCTGGGGTTAAGTAGATTTTTACAAGGATACCCCATATGGAGGAAGTGACTTTCTAGTCTACTGAGGTTCACTGTAAACTGATTCTTCAGGGGAACAAATTTTAAATTCTGTAGACATTTGAGCTATGAATCATGTATCCTTAATTAAATTTGTATCTCAATAGCACCTGATGAAGCATCTCCACCTTCAACCATCAGAAGCTCATGGTGTGGACTTCTCTCGCGTCAGGATGTGGACTGTTAATGGCTGGTAAGCTTTAGTCTTTACTACGATTAATATTATTTAATAGGGCTTTAGCAAACACATAAGTCAGAACTGCCAGGATTTTTGATAAATGAAGTTCAATATATCTACCTTATTTTAACAGTGTGTTAACATATGAACTTGTGGATTTAGAGTACCGACAAAATCAATGAAAATAAATACCATGCAAAAATGAACTATTCTTCACTATATGTTCACAGTTCATCAACCTACAAATGATACTTCATCATTAATCAGAATCTTACAAGGTTCTTTTACATCTAGATGCTGATGCATTTCTGTAGCACATCGTTCATTCATTTATATCTTCTTTAATTCTTCAGGTCCAAGTTTTACAGACAGACTCTGATGTTCAGCTCAGTGGGAGCTCCTCAGATTAATGCCATCTTCAATAGACACTGTTACAGTATCCTTTAATTCTATAGTTTTGTTAATGACTGTAATAGTAAGACAAGAGGTCAATACCTTAAGACGTGAAAAAAAAACAAAACAAAAACCAAAAAAAGCATACCATGAACAACATAAAAAATTTGGGTACTTTGCTTGATAGTTTAATCATTTCAAGGGTGAAACTTTCATAGATATCAAATAACCATACACATAATTCATTCCTCTGAAATCTTATCCCTTGCACACCACTTTTGTGGTCGGCTTCTATACATCAGATATTTCGTTAACGCCCTTGATATAATTAGTTTATAACATTTACTGAGGAGGGTTTTAGAATCTTCATTTACTAGACACTTAAGGTGATTCGAGCTTATGCTGTGGCACAGTATCCATTGTTTGTCAGCTTTTTCACAATATCATAATTCTGAACGGGCTTGTCGCCAGGCATAGGTTTAATTCCAGATAAAATGGTGTTATTAAACATTAAATAATTATAAACAGTTTATAAAAAGATGACCTTGACAGATGATAGATTACGCAGGCATGATGATGATAACACGCCCCAATACCAGTGGAACAATCTGTCAGATTGTTATACAGCTGCCACAGGTACAGATACTGTATTGAAGAAAGCTTCTATAATTATCTAATTTAGCCAAGGAAAGTAACCAGTATAAATTGATTGATGATGTCTCTCTATTGGCTAAAACTAACAGGAAAGACAGGTAGATAATGCACACACCAGGTATGCGATAAGTCTGACTTTCACTCCGTATTGTACTTGGTATACCAGTTAATGTTCTCATCTCTCTACATATTATTTTCTTCTCCTTTTTCACTTCCTGTTTATGTTACAAATTTCAAGGACTCGATCTGTTTGTAATCACATGCATGTTTTTCTCTGATTTTTCAAGAGTGTCCTTTTTGTTTCTGTAGACTTACCACAAAGTAAAGACTACCAGTTACTCCTCGGCGGCTGATGACCGATTCGAGTTCTTCATCAAGAAGGTAATTACATGCCTGCTTTGTTACTACTGCACATTGTGTTCAACACCTAACAAATTAAAACTTTGATAAATTAATTATGTGCAATCTAGAATCAAGAATTCATTTGGCTATGACATTTGCTTTGTTATGAATATCTGCATATTCCTGTCCTATTTCCATAGATACTGCCGCACCAAAAGGAAGCACTGAAAGCACAGACGCTGCTATTTGTTCCGTCCTATTTCGACTTTGTCAGACTCCGTAATCATTTTGTCCGAGAAGATTTGGACTTTTCACAGATCTGCGAGTGAGTACAGTTATGATCTGTTTATTCTGATGTAGTCATTTTAAGACATATGACAAATTAAATATCAATCTTGTCTGATAATTGGGCTGCAATCAGCTCATAGGGTTGAGTATCAAGGTTCTTTTTAGTCAGATAGAAAAAACAAGTCAGAAAATTACATTTAATATCTAAATATGCTCAATTTTAAAATGTTTTAAAAAAGGAATTTTTCATGTCTAGGGTTAACTTGAATCCCAATAGGCCTTGAAATAGGGAACAATTGACTCTGTATAGGTATTCTAGTGACATAGTATGGTAATAAAGTGTAGCATATTTTGACTTTTCATAGGTATTCTAGTGACAAAAATAACTCTCGGTCAAGGAGCTACTTCTTCCATGGAAATGCCCACTTCCTGTTGTACACTGAGAGAGCACATTTCTTTAAGAGGTGAGTCTAGCAAGGTGATTGGTATAACAGCAAATTTATCATTACATATCTGTTTAAAGAGTATTCATGGTTTTGGTTTATTTAACATAATTGAAGTCGTTAATTCTGTTTATGTCATGTTAATTAAGGTATTGTACTTACCACAAACATTTTTAAAATTTTAATTTCGAATCATTTCTGAAAATATAAATTATCTTCCAGATTCAAGTTACGAGGTATCCGCCATATCGTGTTCTATGAACTACCCACTTACCCACACTACTACAGCGAGTTGTGTAACATGATTCAGGACTTGCACAGTCTGAAGGAGGGTGATACATGTACTTGTACAGCAATGTACACTCCATATGACGCACAGAAACTGGCTGAGGTTGTGGGCACCAACAGAACTTCCATCATGATTAACTCTAGTAAAACTACACACATGTTTGTAACAGGGGATGATACGTGACACCACTTCAATTCATAGGACAAATCTTAAAATGTATTCAGGGCAAAATTTTAAACAAACTGTGCGAACATTTTGTAAATCAATATTTTATTCCTGGATTGTAACTGCACTAAGACTCTTTCTTTTAGTTTTTTTAAAACGAATATCTCTCATTTTTCCAATGGGATCAGTGAAACAATGATGAAAATGTCAGAAATTATATCTTTCTGAAACAACTGATAACATATGCTTATGCAAAAGTATTTGAACCATAACTTATTCTAGCTATTGTATATGAATAGCAAGTCTGTTGCCATAGATTTTCTGACATGGTTAAAGTCACATTTTCAAGCATTATGAATGTCTTATTATGAATTATTAATGTTCAGATGTTTGGTATCAGTACCAATTCTATTTCTTTAATATTATCTTGTTGTCTAAGAAAATAATATGAATAAACTGTCGTATAATACACTAGATTTTCAAATTCACTCTCAGTTTCTTTTTTCTTGTAGTTAGATGTGAATTGTTTCTCGATTAATTTTCTAGAAAGATGTAACTGTAGTTTATGCACAGTTCATCTGAAATGTTGATGTTCCATTGAGTTATATATCTGGCCCCAGTTTCATGAATCTTCCTTAACTTAAGGAATTTTCCTTCATTGAAAAATTGCCAACAGAAAAGCATTACATAAGTTAAGAAAATTTTCTAAAATTCAAGTTTTCCTTAATTTCTTAATACTTTTTTATAGTAGTTCATTTTTTCGTGAATTAAGGAATATTCGTGAAACAGATGAACAGAAAATTGAGCTGTTGTCTTCTATGTCCTTTTACAACACACTCACCAGCCTTGGTATGAAACACTCCAAGTATGTACATATTAAAGACATCCTTCAAAGGAATGTTGCTCACATGAACATAAAAATGGATTGCAGATTAGTACAGAACATAAACCATCAATTCTATACAAGTAAACTAGGCTATAAGTACAGTTGTATATCAAATATATGAGTCTGTTTACCTGCCTGAAGTCTGAATAAATCAAAGGATTCAGCGAAGTTGTTGTTTAAGAATTTACAAAAGTTATTGATAACATTTATCTCATTACTAACAATTCTTGGAAGAAAAGTGTATTCAAAATATAGGAATATAATCATTTAGATGCTACCAATGTTGTGTTGGCATTAGATATGTTCTCTTATTGACAATTGCAGATGTATGCAAGATTTATATAGCAAACAAGGATAGTCAGGGAGGTAACTGACCTCTACTTTGTCTTTGATGGAGGTGCATCACATTTGAGTAAGGATTGATAATGAAATCTCAAACATGGAGTGGTGAACTTTATTATATTTTTAGGTGATGACGTTAGAGGAAGGTTCTAGATGAATGCTATTTTGTCTGGTTTGAACTGAGTGGTGTGCATGATAGTGATGAATAGTATGTGACTCAAAGAACCATTTCCAAATAATTAGAACTTTATTTTGACAATTTGAAATCGGTATTGATTTCCAACCAATATATTTGCTCTTTTCAGAAAAGTTGTGCATCCAAACAGTCATTTTCGTGTTTCAGTAGGTTAGAGTGCAGCTGTTTCACACTGATGTTTAACAGTGGTTAGACAGGTGTTTCTTTTGTCTCAAGCTCATAGCCACATGTAAGACAGCCACACGTTCATATTACTACATAAATAAAACATTTCTCTAACCATGATCATGATCTGTTTTTATATAACCATTGATCACGTGTGACCACATTCGCAAAGTTTACATAAGCATTGAGCATGTCTGACAACAGTAAGCTCCTATAAGTTTGTGCTCACATATTAGTTGACGTCCATACTTCTTGGCCATAGATGTACAATACGCGGGGTCTTTATCGCCAACAGGACATTCTGAAATGCCAGGGAAATAATTCAGTTAAGAGTGGTAATGTTTCATTTTTATTATCCAAATTCACGTCTGCATAAAGTAAAACTTCACATGATTTGTCATTTATTTATACCTTTCATTGATGTTGGCTTGGCGAACTTAAACCCATTGGTCTGCCTCTGTATTGAAGACGGATCCACACAGTTACCGAGATGACATATCTAGAAAAGATAACAAGGTATTTTTAGACAGAGCCAATTGGAAAAGGAAAGCATTTATCTTGGGTCCATGACCATCGCATAATGGTATTACAATATATTATACATCCATGTAATATATAGAAATTCGGAAACTCCAAACGATTTTTTCATGAAAGGAAGTTTTGATCTTGCTTCTCATTTATGTTTTTGTTTATTTCACTCCAGCTTATTGCTAAGATGTAAATACTCACCTTCTGATGTGAACAAATTGTGCCCGGTAGTGCTACCAGACGCGACTTAGTTTGGCAGATCCGGGCATTACTGGGATTAGTGCACCAGAGTTGTTCACACATGTCATGGCGACCATCACGCTGTGGAAGACAAAAAAACGCATGTACACGTACTTCAGTGCTTGTTATAAAAAAAATGTGGACCGTTTACGTTTAGATTGGAATGCCGAGGGTACTGAAAATGATATCGATTTTACCTGACAGAAATCGGACTGTGGACCAAATACCATCTGGCACTGTTTCGTAAGTCCGTATATGGAACCAGGAGAAATGCTGTTCGATTGGATGTTCGCCTCTCTAGTTCCTGAGGTTAAACATCTTCTCCGAGACCTGGATGGTTAAACGATATTCTCTTTATTGTTTAAATGGAACAGTCTACCATTACACAATACTGTAGAATGACAATTTTTAGCGGTAATCTTATTTCAGCGCTAAAGATACGATTCTGAAATCTGATTGCGCTAATTGCAGTTGCCGTATGTCGTCAATAAAAAACAAAACAAAACAAAAAAACGCGGCAACGCAAATTTATCATTGCGCCTATTTGTTTAAAATTGATATTACGGGATAGTTTAGTCATACTTACTGGAGGTGACTTGCCATCTGTTTGATGCTGCATTCCGAGAAGTAAAACATGGACGTTGTTGCTTTTCCATTGATGCTCTGCCTAGGGGACATAATGTTATCCATATCTGCTGAACAGGCGGAATTGAGGCGGTCTCCGTCGTGTGTGGCACCTAGACTATATATCAACAATGAATTGTGAGGCAGTCATACTGCTGTCCGCAACTCGCAATTTTCAGTGCCCAATATAAATTTTTGTATCTAGAAACCATGATTGTAAAATGATTTTCTGTTCCATATGCATGCTGTGACTTTTCAAACGAACAAATAGATAGATGCATTTATAAAATATGTACTTCCGCCCATACCTGTGCCCAAGTTCGTGAGTGGCGATTCCTACAGCAAGAAAATCCCCGTTATCATATACAACTGAAGAGGATTTTCCTTCCAAACTTCGACATACAGTTCCGATATATGCCAAACCTGAATATTATGAAATAAATGAAGCAATGCAACATTTTTCACTTGATATTTTCAATGAGAGATACGAAACTTGTAACCAGAAGTACTAGGGATAATTTTGAAGTACTGTTTCAATTTTTAAAAAAACTTTATAATTCAATCATATGATTAAGTTTTCTGGGCGTAAAATTGAATTATTCTGGTAATAACTTACCGTCAACTTTCCTTTGGCCTTTATATAACCGGTGTCTGAAATCGAAGAATATCAAATTTATAATTTTAATAGAATTTAAAACCGATGATACATATAGTGTGCGTTTAGCTACTAAACATTTCGAAAGTGTGTGTAGATTAAAAGTTATGATAAATAATGTCAGTGTCAAATAGCATTATCAAATGTTTTCCGGTAAACAAATTACTTGCAAATGACCAACTTGCATCATTGCGCCAATCTTTTGCTAAATGATTGACAATGTTCGCTTTTGTGCGTCTTTTGTCCAAACCTCACCCTGTGAAAGCTACAGCGTGATCGTAATTAGGTAGGTCGGGGTATTTCCTTCGAAGCCACATCTGAAACTTGTTCAGAGCTGTATCCACATTCACAACACCTTGGCGGACAGTCCGAGGCCAGAGCACAGAGTTCTCGAGCCAGCTAGCATCACCACGGTTCTTATCACAAGAATAGGTTATTTGGATATCAATATACATGTGAATTCTCCTATTACAAACAATAAAATATCTGATATTTATTTTGAAACAACAAAAATGAATAAATAAATCAAATCTAATAATAGCACCATTTGAAAAACGACCAAACAAGAGTTTTCGCAAAGGCCTTATCAATGGTGTCTCATAAGCTTGGATGTCAAGTGGAATATAGGATATTATAGGGAACAGAATCAGGAATTTGAAGACAAACTAGTCTAGTAAGTGACGATAGTTCCATAAACAATGTATTCCAATTACGAAAAGAAGTGAATATTACTTATTTCTTGTACTTACAAGAGTGAGTGTGTATTTCTTTGATGCATTCTTACCTTTGGAATCACAATGCCGACCAAGCTGACGTGGACTGACAGCAACGGAGATTGGATGGTAGAGAATCGTTGGTTCACCTGATTTATTAAAAATGCTTTAATAAGACTTCACAATAAGGTTAAGTAGGTTACTCTTATCTGTAATAGGAAGACGAAAGAATTTACTGGTGCCAATACAACTAGCAATGAAAATGTAAGTTATATACTAGTGTTTTGTTGGTAAATAGACAAATGAAATAAAACATAATCTATAAAAGCTAACGAGTTAAGACTTTATAGCTGTATACACAAGAGTAGTTATCATTTAGATATTTCCTTATTGACAGATTGTTCTAAAGTGGATGAAAGTTATGGACTCGTTTTTAGTCAGTTTTGTGATCTTACTGATCTCGTTTTAGTATTTATTGTATAGTTTATCATAGTGATAATAGATAACAAACATACGCGTGATTAGCACCTCTCAATACTAATTAAAAAGCATACATGGCAAAGCCTAATAATTATCTAAACGGTCTGTCCTGGGACAGTGATGCTACGGGCTTAAATCGTGAAACCTTTAGGTGTCAACTGAAGAAAATCAAAATTGGTCGAAACAAACCAGATGGGGAGGTGTATTAACCCTAAATATTTAATAAAATTCAGAATTTCAAGATTGCATGATTTCCACAGAAAGCTATAATTACATGTATTATTTAGAGCCTTGCAATTTTTCGAAGGAAATAAATGGTTGACCCTTTGGCGATTCTTGTCACGTGGTTTGGGGTTGCGTTGACATTTTTAATGAGGACGCGATTTTCATTCCGGTTAACACATCAAAATGATGGACACTGTGAATGAACCAAGAGATGCCTTACGTTTCGAAAACCAGATTTTACTATGTTGGTACTTTTTTTGTTTTATCAGGTTTAAGCTCTTTCTTTCGAGCAATTTTGTATTCATATTTTTTTGATGTTGAAATTAAAACAGGCCTTTGTTGATGAGAAAAAGGTCGTATCGTACCATTGAGAAGAGAATACGATAGTAACGTTCGATATGCTCTTGAGCTTTCCTCTTGTTGTTGCGGTTATTTCGGAGGTACTTCCGGTAAAGGCAGTAATCAACTACCGCCAGAACTTCGACATCAGCCATCACACGACGATGACTGTCTTCTGCCATTCCTAAAACGACATCCAGTCACGTCTACGATAAAATTCAGGCGTTTAAAAACGTCAAGCATGCTTAGGACTGTAAAGACTTTGTTTTTGTTCTGATATTTTGTTATGTGGTATTAAATCCCTGGTAAATTTGAGTTATTTCATCTAAGATATTACCTGAAACTATAAAAAGAGATAATCAAGTCATGAAACAAATCATTTAAATTTCATAAAACTGACACTGAGTATACAAACATTATGTGTGTTCTTTAACGAATCATACCTGCCGTCAAAACCAAGATCATCACGTGCTTAACGTTTCAGAGCATCTTGCATACAGGAAGAAAACAAAGTAGTTCAAAATCAGTTAATGGAGTGTCAAATTCTTATTATGATATATATGTATATCTACGCTTGGACTCTGTATCATACACAACAGAAGGGTGTTTATCTCTGTATCATATACAAAAAGGCTGTATATATAACAGTTATTCACCAGAATGATGTTAACGTTGTATCATTTAACAATAGGGTTTTAGACGTATCACAGTTTCTTCACCAGAACAATGTTTAATCCTTTATCATATACAATAAGGTTATAAATATATATATATATATATATATATATATATATCACAGTTTCTTCACCAGAAGAATGTTTAACACTTTATCATATACAATAAGGTTGTATATATAGATCATAGCTATTCGTTAGAATGATGTTTAACTCTTTATCACCAGAAGAATGTGTAACCATTTATCATATACTATCATATACAATAATGTTATATATACATATATATTCCAGTTATTCTCCAGAAGAATGTTTAACCCTTTATCATGTACAATAAGGTTGTATATATATATATAATGAAAATATCAACAGCTCAGTGTCCGGTTCAATATATGAAAGCGCTCATGCTTTACACTTAAATACACATCGTGTTTCTGATTATTATTCTCAATATTTATATCACAGTTATTCATCAGATGGTTGTTTTTCTCTGTATCATGTACAATAATGCTGGATGTATGTAACGTATTATACACAAAAAGGTAAGTTATATATTTTGAGTGATGCACATTAAAGTTGGACGTTTGAACGACTAGATCTCTACTTACGTAAGTTTTGTCCAGTCTGTAAAACAGCTTCCCCATTATCAGCATTAATATAATCAACAAAATCTCTTTCTGTGGAATTCTCCCCATCGCGTAGAAACTCCCAATCAGTCGAGTCATCAGTGGTTGGCTGTGAAATTCAAACAGAAGTGAATCATAATAACTGTTTAATGGTTAATTAATAGCAACACTACCACTGTTGTTGTTGTAAGTATAAAAACGACATGAAGTCTGGTCAGGAATTAAGATTATCTACCAACAAATTATATCTAATCATGGTCTGCAGTGTATAAAATTGATATGAGGGTAATGTTACTTACTTGATAACTGTCCTCCAAATCTATGTATGTAAATACGTCTTCGTCATTTATTTCAGAGTCTGGTACATCATCGTGAAAGTGTGTATGAGTGTAGCCTTCTGTTTCTGAAATCTCCCTCACATTACCTGTAACATGTGTTTATTTCACATTATTAAACGTCAAATTATATTCTCTTTAAATTGTTTTCACACTCGCCATCAAGATTAGCACACTTAAATAACATAACGTGGTTTCCAGGAGACCGTTAGGAATTGTACAAAAGACACATAAGTGAAAAAAACAACTTTCAGTATAAAAAGGGGGAAAATACCAACATGACAACATAATCATAATCCAAACTCAACTTCAATAAACCAGGGCAAAATATGAACAAAAGAAAGATTTACAGAGATCTATACTGAAAACATACCAGGAAAATACGACAAGGTGTTCCTGAAGAGTAAATGTGAACAAGGTATACAACAACGGAATCAATGGGTAGAGCATTAAACACAGCTAACATATAGCAATAGAATATTTCTCAATGAGGTCCTTATGGCGACCAACTTTCCTAACCTGCATATTTTGAACCCTTGTGTTACGAGTTTGTCAAAATACACACACGTGAATAACATATTTCAATACAACTAGGTTCACACAAAATTGGTCAAAATACATTAATATAAATTGCGTTCACTTAAGAATGCACAAAAGGCACACAACTGAATAACACCTTTCAATACAAATAAGTCCCCATAAAATCAGTTCATATAAGATTGTACGAAAGACAAACAAACGAATAACACTTTTCAATACAAATAAAGTTTAAAAGGCACATGAGTGAATAACACTTTTCAATAAAAAAAAATAGTGTGCATAAGACACTAATATTAAATTGCATTTTTAAACAAACAATAAAAGAGATTTACATAAGACGCTCAAACAAATAACACTTTTAAATACACATCAGTTCTCACAAGACCGTACATAATATATACAAGTAATACCATTAAAAAAAATTGAAGATCAATTTCGACAGGGCTTAGACACACCATCAGAAATTAAGTCATTGCAACCTGAAGTCTCGAATTCTAGATCAATCAATGAAAAGTTAATTCTAGATTTAACTAGATTACTAGATTCCTCAGTTTAGGTGACATTGCTGATAAGCGAGTTCTGATATCCTACCTTGATTTATGATCGTCCAAGAGAAACACAAGGAGGAGCAAACGCTGCAGTATATGAATATACTGTACACGACCATCGCTCGGGCCTAGATCTACTTGTTATGATTGTAACTGAAAGAAATGATTTATGTACGATCAAATATCATGCTGATGCAAAAGAAGGGCAATGACGTTTGAGTACCAGATCACTTAAGTGGGGTGAATCAAACAGTGTATGAATTGTAAGCTTAAAGATTTGTTTTATAATGTTGAATTAATTCTCAAAACAATATTCTGTAAATTGGTTTAGCACTTTACTGTACAAATAATACATTACTGTGCTGGAATCAGCTATATTTAACTGTAGACGTTAATTTCATATCAATAATCAGTAATAATTCTTCCTTGTATGAAGCCTACAAAGCTTTGTCAAGCTTTTTATATGGGCGGATAAAGATGGTGTTATTTACCAATCCTTTAGCAGAAGCCCGCTGTGTTAGATGTGCATCAGGTGGTCGGATACAGGGACACTGCCTAAGACACTGGTTGCTTGTGTACCTCTTAGTCGGTCAGTTATCGGTGCAAAGATACGACAGGGTACATACGCTCACACAGTGTTCTGTGCGGTGTACTCTGTGGTTAAAGATCACTCAAAGTTTTACTCGCTATAAAGCATTCTTCATCCAAATGCACTTCCTCGTGGTTTGTGCGATTATGTGTACTTGTATAATCAGCATACGTCGATGTAGATACACAGATAATATCGTATCTAATTTATTAGTCATATCTATCCACTAATTTGTAATATATTTTAATGAATGAATATGCCTAATCATATCTGAACAATTGAAACGTATACCATTTTGTAAAATGAAATTTTAGAATAAGATAAGTAGATCAAACAAACACAAACTATTGATGGGAATATTGAAGTATTAGTATTATCAGATATTGTAAATTCACTAGAAATGTCCTCACGTACGAGTAATACCATAGACAATGAAAATATTACTTGAAAATGGAACATATCTTAAATGCAATGTATCGATATTTTGGGAATACAACTCTGCTTTGCAGGTAGGGTGAACGAATTGTAGCTGTTTCCCTAATGTATGATTTTAAAAGAAGCCTAACTTTGTAGCCTTACTTTCTTCCCATATCCTATTATTCCCTGTCTCCTTTGATACTGCCTAACTTTAGCCTTAAGTGAGCGTTCGTACCTGTGAGGCAGTTTTTGGGTCCTTTGCCCTGGCCGAGAGATACAGTATAATGACCAAATAGGATGTCCCGCTTTCTTCCGGTTGTATACTTCTGTATGGTAGCACGATAAAGTTGGTATCAGATCCGACCTATCACGACGAGGCTACATCGAATTAATTTTCAACCACCCACAAACACACATAATGAACACATTTAATAATATAAAACCTCAAAACTCAAATTCAAGCCGACACTTTTTTAAAACATGATGTGTCATGAAACACTACGCCCTCGGTTGCAACAAAATTCTGAAGTGGGGCAATAAACTTATAGTGTTTAAGGCATGTGCTAAATGCTAAATTCATGCACACTTTGTGAAACACTTGTGTCTAACGGTGCAATATTTATGGCAAATTTTATTATTTTTAAACGTAGGGCATGTCACGGTAAAGGTCACATGATTAGATATTTTAGTACCAACGGAAAGATTTGGAAACACCTAATATAAAAACCCTACCTCTTGGATTGCAATAGATATTGGCAAGGTTAAAGTTGACAACAGGCAAAGGATTTTTGAAAAAAAAAGAGAAGAAAGTTTTAACATTCGTTTATCTCTATGCATGTCAATACATATGATTTATGACCAAGTGCTTAAGACTTGTCCTTGGGAAATAACAACGATATGAAATGAGGAATAACCCACTCAACAAACGGCTTTAATGGTCCAACACTTATAGGGTATAAAAAAAACAGGCGGGTAAAATGTTTTCCACGTTGCCTTTGCTTCACGTTTAATCTGAGATGTGGCCTATCAAGTCAAGTATAAGGACATTACAGACCACAGTTGATATTGACGATTGACTATACAAAACCATGGCTACATGGAACAAGGTAGTTGATAGCAAATCATTTGTGAAATTGTAAACATGAATATCAACGGAAGCAAGTTTTATTGTTGGAAAAAAGTAATTGATATCCGTGGTGTTATGTGTATATATATTGATATGAGGAAGGATCCATCAGGGTTTTGAAATTTGAAATGTTGGAGAAGGATACCATTCGTTGTGTTAAATATCTTGTCGACCTGGGTTATTGTCATTATTTAACTTCTGGTAATGTCATACCGAAGTGTTTTGCTTCAATGTGGGCTATTATATCAAATGTGTCATGATTTGTATGTCTAATGATTTCATTATCATTGCCATTGTCTTTATCTGTGAAACTGGCTTTACTTGGATTTTAATGTCGACTGTTGTAATAGAAAAGCAAATTTATTAGATATGGTTTATTGTCTTTATTTTCATGTCGGAAGAAGACCCGTTACAACACAATATGTCATCGCAAAAGAAATTAATGTTCAAATGTATGAATCCAAATGTATAGACGTTAACATGCTGACTTTGTTTATCTATATAGCAAAGAGCGAAACTATATCACGGCTTGCAGTATTCGTCAAGAGACTGAACAGCTTTACACACTATGCTAACGTTATGTCCATTCTGTGTAAACAATGGAAGCGAGCTGAACATTCCGTCTGTATCGTCTGCATCGTCCACACTGGTGAAAACCGTCACCTGAAACATTATAGATATGTCAACATCACAGAATATTCTTTGTCTTACGGATTGTTAAATAGTTTTTTATCCTTACATTGTCCTGAAATTCACGAGTTATTACCTTTTCATCTAAACAATCTAATAATCTTATAGCAAACGTTCATTCAAGAGAAGAATCATTCTGTTAAAACAATACAGATGAGGTTGGTAGATAACTTGGTACCACTGACAAGAACTAACGCACTAAAACATATTCTTAATACGGCACCATGATAGAATTCTCAGTGACATTTTCACAACAGACGAATATGGGGAAAATCAGAATACGTTGTTGATCAGTAATACACGTTTACAAAGGTAGAAAATGTAACTAAGAAACGAGCAATAACTGTGGTTTTCCGTTATACATGGACACAGTTCCTATTACCTTATCATCCCCCGAACACAAATGTCGAAATCGAATTAACTGTCTTTTTTATCCATCTCGATTATTAGCAAGATCATGTCTTATATAAATAGTTGATCAGGTTTTTACGCGGTAATGTTTTCAATAATCTTACCTTTCGACAATTTTTGTTTTTGAAGAGATCTACGCTTGCATCCACCTCAGTTCGTAAGCCAAAGACTGTGCTCGCCTCTTTAGCCCAAAGTTGTTTAAAATCTTCCCATTTCATTCCTTAAAACGGTTAAATAAAAACAGTAACACTTAATCTATGTATGTAATTTGTTTTCCATCATACATGGAATAGCAATGTACTAATGTACAGGATATGACGTCTATTACTAATACTTTTTCATACATTAAATATTACATCATCACTTGATACCTGTATTAAGTAGAATCCTACCTGTCATAGATTATTTGTAGGAATGTGTCTTGATTGGCGTAACATACCGTGATAATCAAGTGTCAGCTCGTTCCAGTAAGTGTACTTTTTGTTCAGTTTACGTGGAGAAGGTTTACAGAGAACGGGATCAACATCCAGCACACTCTGGGCAAACACCTCATAATCTGTGAGGGGTGTACATGTTATATCATTCAAACCATGACCAAATAGATTTGAGATGATGTTTTCCAACTTTATTTCGCCACCAGATATCTCAATCACTATAAACAAAAACAATACATTACATATTTTACAATGATAGCCAGCATGATATCATCACATATTTCGTGTTTTCAGGTGATCTTACCTTGGCTCGATCGATCCAGGTATTACCTCAGCCAAAAACACTATTTTTGATACACACTGCATTTATACAATTTAGGAAATTCTTATTGCTAATAGGAATAAGTTATTTTTTCAATTTTGTTTATAGATATAGTCTTCCACTAATACAATCATGTTTTGAGATGATCGACCTATAACAAGGTTTATAATAAACAAAGCAATGTTATAAATTCGATTAAAACGTTTTACCGACGAACTGTTGACGCTAACGCGCGCACACTTCAACATATATAACGTATGTTGATACATACCTGTTACAACTCGAGGCTCACCTGTCACCTGTGACAGAACAGTAAAGATAATGTACAAAGCAAATAAGGTATGTATACACAAGAAGATGATGTTACAACCGTTAACCGTTATCAGTTACTCTTGTTATATATTTTACACAGGAAGCAAAGATGTGACACCTAGACCAAATAGGAAATTGATTAATTAATTATACTATTAAATCAGACGATATCAGAAATGATGAAAATCTATTTTTGCTAAATAAAAAATATCATTATATTTAACCAACAAAAACGATAATACCTTGAATTTATGAATTGTCCTGCAAGTCGGATTTCCATTTGTATTAGAAAAAGACTCTCCCATCAAAACTGTGTTGATTTGACTTATGACCGTTTCTAATGACCATCCCATGTCTTGGCATATTTTCCAACACGATTCACCGATTTTGATGTCCAATAGATATAACTGAGTTTTAGACATGGCGATGTTCCGTTATACTTGCACTGAATACCTGGATTATAAGACCGACAAAATCCCAGTATACCTTTCAGGATCCTAACATAAAACTGACATAACTCGTGTTTTACTGAGTCGATTATAAAACTGCCTCACCAATCCTACAACAGACGTCATGATAACGAACAGCATAGAGTACAACAACATCCGGGTACGATCAATGAGCTTGTCATGGTTTACTTTTCTTCTATGTGTGTCTATACTTTACTTGCTATCTATCTTACGTGTGCTTTGTGTACGAGCCTCGAACAGATAGAATCAGTTCGAGTTATTGATTTGTTTGACAAATTTATATTTATTCAAGCAGCTATGATATTCTGTCAGCATTGCTCACGGAATGATGGACTGATTATTTATCTGTATAGAACTTTCTAGGGTTTTTATCTATAAACTTTTGTGGGTTATGCAAAATAATATATTATTGAAACACGTCGACTGGTGCGCCTCCTCATCTAGAATAGATATTTCATTCAATCAGTTTTGATTTCCCCAGTAACTTCCTAGGATTCCTAGGTTATTTTGCTCTACTTTATATGAATCTGAATGTGTGTGTCTTTTGTACAATTTTTTAGAGTGCATGCAGGTCCCGGGCTAGACATAACCTTCATGCCATGTTTTTATTTACTCGAATAGTGACATGGTTCAAGATATACACACGCACTTCTGAAGTTTTAAAACTGTTAATTATGGGACTAGTCCATCCCCCAATTTAGATTTTGACACTTCTTTCAATCAATTTAGAATTTCCTCAGGCGCCTCCGGGTTTAAGCTCCAAGTTAACCCCCTAGCATCACTGACAATTCATAGAAGGACAAAATAGCTGTGCAATACAGTTTAGTTCAATATTTGGCTTTACTATTTGATTCTGACTTTGTATCGAAAGGTGTTTTTCACCTCTGCATCTTCTGTAAGTAATCCTATTAAAATAATGATGACGCAAAACTTAACGCCAGAAGATGTCATGATCCAATCACTGTCGGTATACCCTGAAATGTTGGAAATCTTGGTACAAGGAATTGAAACACTTCTAATAATGAGCATAAGAGAAGTTTTAATGGGGTTACCTTTGACTACTTCTTGTACGAGCTTTCTGAAAAATTCATGTTACTACACTGTATTTTAAAGGCATTTGATACTTTGTGGAGAGTCTTTAGGGACCTAATGCCATCTATTTGACACATTCTTCTCCATTCTATTTTGTTAGACATTTTTATTTATTGTTGCATCTACGTCCGGAATAAATGAAATTATATCCTGTTCCAAACTACATTTATTATTTACATTATATCAAGACACGTCTTATCTACTATGTAACACATGTGAATGTGTGATACTTAGAAGAAAGTGACACACCTGTGTATATATGTAATACAGGTAGGGTAATTCCTGGTAATAATACAGCGCAATATATATATGTGTGTATAGATAACTGGATGTGATAGCGTTTGCAAAATCAATACCATATGAGTTAGAAAGAATGACACAGCACTTATAATTATATGTAAATATGTGAGTATACAATTGCTAATACTATACATTTTTAACTGTCCTTATTGACGAGGTAAAATCAAAAGACCTGTCACAAAAGAGACGACATTCACTGTTCAGAGCTCAGGATGTATCAGTAAAGAATACGTGACAAACAGGAATTGTTAGGACTTCATTTCATCAAATTTTACTGACATTGCAAAGTCATTTGGACCGAATAACAGACAATGTAGGTTCATTTTATCAAGGGAAAAAGTATTATAAATAATGGAAAATTAACAGTTAATTGTATAACATGTTTTTAAACAATTTTGAAATGAAAATTGAAAACTTTAAATAGCTAAATAATGAATACCACGAAACATCAGTTGTAAAGAATGGTTCTTCGAAACTCTATCCACAGTCTATTTGGAGACGAATGTTTACATGACAATTTTCACATGCCAGAGCAAAACTGGATGTGATTTAAATTCTATTGCAGCTTTCAAGTTCGAATATTCATAAATCACGTTACCAATAGAGCACCAAGAAACCAAGAAATAGAGAATTGCCAAGAAATCGAGTAACCAGTCCCACACATCTGTTTTTGTTATTCTAGGAATCATCAATGGTGTTAAGGGCCTAAATATGAAAACCTAGGAGGCGACTGAGGAAGATCAAGACGGATCGAGGAAACGAAATGTCATCATTTATATGTGGAGGTGCAAAAGCGAGGGAATGCATTTTTGGTTGTAGGTATACCTGTACATTTTTCTTTCGTGCTAATAAATATTTGCCCCTCTATGACAATAAATGACATGACGAACATAGAACATATATAGAAAGTTAATATGTTGTGTTAAAATGTTGTGTTATTGTAGTATGATTGAAAGGCTTTAAAATGGATTTAAATGACAAACAACCTAATTGCAATATTGTATATGTAATTGTATTTAATTAAGGTTTGTTGTGAGGTGATATATAATGGTCAACGAAATCAGCATGAACAGCTTCCATCAAGCTGTATGCGATTTAAATTTCCCTATGCTGAATTTTCTATTTTTGGATAGCAACTTCCCTTCACCCACACCTTTGGTGCTTACAAGTCGCAGTTGGTTCGATATTCAAGAACCTGATCCCATTATCGCGAAGTCGTCAACTGACAGAGATACAGGTTGATGAAAAATGTGGGACAGTTTTACAGTCGTCATAGTGACCTCATCGAGAGAAAATATATTTCTTTGTGCGATATGAAGCTTGACATGCTTGATATCCGTTGGTTTACATGGCGGGTGTCGTCTATGAAGCAGAAGGCGTTTACTCTTCCGAAATACCTTATCTTATTGCACTTTTTCAGGAGTCTGATAAATTGGTCTACATCCAACACAATCTGTACGTACATCGATCCCAGATTCGAGATTATTACCCTCCAATCTCACTTCACTCCCTGGTTATTTCAACCAACATAGTCTAGATATAGCAAAATGTGTATAGAAAACGACATGCTTCCCTCCGCAACCTATTGATTTTGTATGCTGCACAATAAAGTAAATTTAAGCCTATTTGATTTCTTCGTATTTGCCGAGTGTCCCTAATGTCAATCAACGTTTACACCATGAAAGTGAGATACACTTCCTCAATGCCTAATTGATAAAAAAAATCCAGTGAATACTTCCCGAATGTCTTTGAGTATTAAACTTCATAACACTTACTTGGGAGGACAAAGAACACTGTACAAACTCGTTCTTTTGTTCGGCTGTGTAGATTTTTTGTGTTTTGCCAAGTTTTAAACATTTCATTTGTTTGTATTTTAACAATGAGGTTTATGTTTACTATGTTGTTCAATAACATGTCACGAATTGATTAAATCGTCAGTGTAAACGATTAAAGGACAAACGTTTTGCTTGCAGTATCTAAGTCATTGTATGGGTTAAATGTGTCACCAATGCCGATAAATACATCCAACCTGGGTTTTAATTATCCAACAAGTAAGCAGTTTTAGACCGATTGTCCTCTTGTCTTCAACAGACTTAGTATATAGTACACACAAGTAGGTCGTGATTTTATTATATTCAGATATTGTAGGTATTTTATCTCCATTCAAATAGTTTTCTATTTAAATCAATTACAAAGACAATGTCTATGAGATTATTTTTGCACTACCGGTTAAATAGTAAATATATCATACCTACATATAATTGCATATTTCTACATAGATCATTTTAAAAACAAATTCTCAAAGAAAGTGTGTCAGTCCAACGTGACCTGTCGAACTTGAACACATTTGGCTTGCCGGGCGGCGCAGTGGTAAAGCACTCGCCCTTTCACCTAGGCGCCCTGGGTAGGATTCCCGGAGCGGATAAAAAAAAGGGTATTGGGGTCATCTGCCCGACTACCTGGGTTTCCCCCGGTACTCCGGTTTCCTCCCACAGAAAGACGCCTTTCGCGTTTCCATACTAGCCAACATTTGTGATTAATATAAAAGTGAAGCTAGTATCGCAACTGTTGTAAAATAAAGTGTATGTTATGTAAACAACACTCTAAATGAATAACAAATGTTACTTGTGCAAACATGCGTTCAAGACAGCTTGTGACCTGCTGCAGCGTGGTTCGATGTTTATCCTCAGAGTGATCTTGCATTACAACCAAACACTAGAAGGACTAAACGCATGAGTGATTCAGCTGAATGTGTCATACTACTTTTCTGTAGATATCATTGAAGGGATATTTTCTCGTGTGCGTACTATGTACGGCTCTATGCGACTTATATCTCTGAAGTTAGTCGTAAACCTGCATGTCGCTTCTAAATTCTGTTGAATATTGGAAAGGTTTAGCATAACACATGAAATCAATACTCTTTTCACAGAAATATCCAATCTTAAAAATTACGTAACTGAGATTAAGTTATTGAGTTTGAGCCCTTTCCCGTAATTTATTTCGGCCAATTTTTATTTCCTTCGACCGAGAATGACTCTTTTTCCCCAAGGAACACTGACTTGGTCTAGAAAATCGTAACAGCTGTATGGCGCGTTCATCGTTTTTCGTACAGTGTCTGTCAATGGTAGAAACGTTTATCTACATGTTACGACTCGGTGTAATTAAGAACTTATTTTGAGACTTCGAATGTCGTTTTATAGTATAAAGTTAATAACTTAAGCTGCATTAGAAAAACACCATTTACTTTTATTTCTATAACTTGAAATAGTTTTGATGTTGTAATACCCTTTTAATCCAGGTGTCTTTTCTATACAAAGTATTATCATATTCCATCTTCACAGATATATTAAGATACAACCCCGCCCTATAGGTAAAATGAAGAGTAGGTCATACATCAGAGGTCTGCCTACGTATGTGCATGTCCGAATTTTTAAATTGATAAATTTACATGTCTCAAAGTACAGCAGGTGGCAGCAGAATCACGCCTTTAATGGAACGATACTCTCTGCCACGTCTACAATTTACATGGATAGATGTACGACCAAGTGATGAAATGCTTC